CTTGACACTTGACACTTGACACTTTTATATTTTTTTTATGGTTTTACCTCGGGTTTTACGTACCAGGAAATTGTTAAATCAACGGAATAACAATGAAATAATTAAAAAACTTTAAAAAATCAGAGGAACTCACAGGAACTCCAAAAGAAAATCGAGGGAACTCCAAGGAAATCAGAGGTTTTCCGTGGAAGTTGGAGGAACTCGGAGGAAATCAGGGAAACTCCGAAGAAATCAAATGAACTCTGAAGAACTCGAAGGAACTCAGAGGAAATCTAATATTTATAGGAAATCAGTGTACAAAATTTGGGTTGCGGTTTACCCCTCGAGTCACATTTTTCTGTGGCACAGCTAAATATCCCAGGCGGGTAAATCTAGTTCCAAAGATGCTGTATCATTCAAATGCTTCATGGAGTAGAGAAATCCAAAAGGGTTTTCGACGATTGCTCATTAAACGTAATATAGAAAACTATATCGACATGAGTACCACATCTTTCACGCACGTTAACTCCTGAGGCGTGCTGTAGACGACAATTTGGACACCTTCCGAATTCTATTGAGCCATTTGCCGATAGAGTTTCGAATAATCGGACTAGATCATGACTTGTTAAATGTGATAAAGGAGACTTTATCGACACTAGTACTCCTTTGGACTCTGAGGGGTTGTAAAAGTAGCTTGATGGTAGGGCAAAGAAAATAATTGTTTTCTTCGTCGACAAATAAGAAAACTGCATACAGCTTTGCGTGAACCGTATGTTGCGGGCAAATTTTGACTTAACTGTGAATAAGTTGCCATCACGCTTAAGAGTCTTCTGTTCGACTGCACCCAATGTAAGGTTCCATAAGAGTGCCCGCCATAAAGACTGTTTCTCTAAAAAAATTTGTTTTAAGAACTACTTTATAAATTTAGACCTTTATCTACAAAATGTTCGTAACAGAAAACTCTTAAAGTGGACATAGCTTACTGAATGATCTCCATATGATAGCTTCGATGACCTAAAAACAAAGCATCTTAAGTACACATTCCTTTTAAATAACTACATTTCTTGTAAAAAATCTAAGCTTAACTTAAAAACCTACAAGACTTATGGCAGTTTTCTGATGAACAAAAATCTGTGTTTGATGCAAGAAATATTCCCAACATCATTTCATCAATGTTTGGCAGATTTGCTGCTATCAGCATTCGCATACCCACTTTCCATTCCTATCTGGTTTTAAAAACTAAACTTTAGGATAATATAATCACTATAAAAGGAACAAGCACTAAATTAAAAACGTAGACAAACTCTACAAACGCACAGAGGATTAGGATAATGACGTCACGCGCTCTGATTGGCGTTTGATATCACGTGACAAATGTCGTTATTTTTTAATTTTAGTTTTACTAAAATATAATAGTTTCTCATGTACATTACCAAAGAAAGTTATTTTGGGATACCCTGACACCTTACTCTATCTTATGAAACAGAAATTTATTTATTCCATTTCCACTGCCATGTACCCTATTGCACCGTCAAAATTAAGTAGGTATCACCAAGGATACTATATAATATAAGGATTGCTCGATCCCTATACTTGTAATGTTGCCCAAGTTTAAGTCATTTGTGACGTCACCAACGGACCCGGCTGTCAGAATTGACAGTTATAATTTGCTAAGTTGTGAACGTATTTGCATGGACGCCAGGACGCCGATGTGCTGTAACAACAGCCGTGTTTGCACAAAAATCACTAACCCGGAAGTCATTTACCATAACTTCCCTAAAACCGATGGATTAATACGCAAGGAATGGATATGGTGCTGCAAGCGAGATTAATGGACCAGTGTTTCTAATTTAAATGCCTGCCTACAACACCCATTTGAACGTATTTTATGGTAATCCTAAAGGTCGATTCTCATTAGAGCAGCACCCAGCGGCGCGCCGCAGAGCAGCGCGGCGCGTCGCTAGCAGCAAATTGTAGAGGGGTATTCCCACTTAAGCACCATTGGGAAGCGTGACGAAGCAGCGTTTCTGTTTGTGTTCAGTTTAAGGGAGAATGTATTCTTACACGCTCGAAGAAGAGTCATCATCGTCATCATCACCAGATGATTTCATATTTATAGCGGCGCTATGCCATGTATACGACGAAAAAAGAATAAAAAGAAAGCGGACGAGTACAATTAATTTTTCTATTCTTTCTCCGTCCATAGCGAATCTACTAACACACGTAAGCTCAACACAGAAGACAAATAAATGCTTTTCACAAGCCGCAGCACCACGCTGATTTGGCTTCGCTTCTCGATTCCCACTTGTCCGTCTACACGCAGAGCGGCGCGTTTCAAAGCAGCGCCGCGTATTCCAATGCTTCCCGACGCGTTTAAAATTTGCTGCGCTGCACCGCGCCGCTCTGCTCGGCACCGCTCTACCTAGGTGAAAACGGGTCTACTTATTTACATGCGAACAATTGAGAGCAGGTTTTCACCGCGCCGCGCTGCTCGATGCTGCTATAATGGGAATCGGCCTTAATCAAAGCATGCGCTGGTACTGGGTCCGCGAGTGACGTCACTACACGCGGCGAACAAATTCAGTGATCGAGCAATCCTTATATTATATAGTATCCTTGGGTATCACTTAAAGTTAAGCACAACTTAAATGCCATAGAAACGATTGTATTAATACCTAATCGTTGCCATAGATTTTAAGTTCGACTTATCTTTAAGCAAGGCTTAATTTTTGTGGTGCAACTGGACATACTCCTCAATTAATATTAGGGGAAAACTACCACATTTTCCTTGATGAGGATGTGGCATCTCAACCCGACATGTTCATCTTCACAGATGGATCTAAAACCATGGAAGAAACAGGCACTGGCATTTTCTCCAAAGAACTGAACTTCCTTATCACCCAACCACTAGGCAAGCTTCTACCTGTATTCCAATCTGAGTTAGTAACCCTTAGTGCAAGAAAAGTTCTTATGCCATAAAGAACAAAACTATCAGAATCTCCAGTGCCAGCAGGTCACTGTAAAATTACCTCTATGTTGGTTTCCGAATGTCACCATGCATTACCGCTGAATCTTAGAAATTTTCGGTTCAGGCGTTTTAGTGTAACACTCAAAAAATTTTTAACTAAATTGTTTCTATAGTGTTAATGAATTTATGTCTTATGTTAATATTGATTTAGAACCTTAAATTCTGTTGTAGTAGTATGTATAATCATATTGTTTGGCCTTTGACTTGTCCTATATCCGTTTAGGATCTTTTGGATAAATATATTATTATTATTAAAATAAAAAATAAAAAAAAGAGCAAGTAGCAAGCAGCTCGCATGGGTCAAAGGGCATACTGGAATGGAAGGTAATGAGAAAGCCGATGGGTTAGCCCGACTGACCTCAAAACAGGTGTTTTATGGTCCAGAGCCGGCTCTTCCACTTACAGCTGCAACTGTAAACAACTTAATAACTCAGGACACCTAAACCCAGCACATGGCTAGATGGAACATGATGTTAGATTGTCGCGATGCGAGAGAACCCTTCAAAGGACCATCTCGTAACCTGGGGCGTTTTTGCACAGGGCTATCAAGAAAGAACCTGAGGTTAATCGTGGGAATACTTTCTGGGCACAGTAAACAAAACAAACACATGCACCGCATGGGTTTGATAGAATCACCATCTTGTAGTGGAAGTTACACGGACGATGAGACGGCACACCACATACTTTGTTGAATGCCTCGCTCTAGTCCAACTCAGACGATCCATATTAAGGGTGTCCTGACCGGACATGGCTACGATGATTAGAACCGCCTCCCCTTCCAGCATCCTCAGGTTCATCTCACGTGTGGGATGGCTTGATTGACGTTGAGGGGTCGAACGAATCTAGTCAGAGAGGTAGTACAAAGGGCCCGAATTTGAGACGTAGGTACGCGTCTACCTTCCTATCGTAATCCAGAATCAAGAATAGGGCACAAGAATTTGATATCATCAAACATACATTCATTTTATTTCGTTCGTGGCCGTAGACGGAGAGGAGAATCTACGGGTACCTCTAGAGCGCACAGTTCGTGAATACACGACGTGGAGGCTGGGAGTCAAGACCACCAACATTTGTGTGCAGGAGCTATGGGGTACCTACCGTAAGACTTTTTTCAAAAGTTTGAACGGCACAATTCAGTAAGCATCGAGCGCAAATGATTGCCATTATTGCATTATTCCATATCTTCAAAAAAAGGTGGGGCCTAGGAGTCAAGTTGGCCCCCGAGATTTGAGTGCAGAAACTACCATGTAGCGGAAGACTATTTTCAAATATTTGATCGGCACAATCCAATATGCATCGAGCACAACTCGTTAAAGTAGTATTGGAATTTGTACGTTAAAAAAACCGGGGGGTTGAGAGTCAAATTGGCCCCCGAGATTCAAACGCAGAAACTACCGTGTACCGTAAAACTATTGTCGAATATTTGAACGGCACAATCTAATATGCAGTGAGCACAATTGATTGACCTTATTTAGAATTCCATATTTGTAAAAAACGTGGGGGCTGAGAGTCAAGTTGGCCCCCGAGATTTGAGTTCAGGAACTACCGTGTACCGGAAGACTATTTCCAAATATTTGGCCGGCACAATCCAATATGCATCGAGCACAACTCGTTAAAGTAGTAATGGAATTTGTACATTAAAAAAACCGGGGGGCTGGGAGTCAAATTGGCCCCCGCGTTTCAATTAAAAAAAAATTTATTTTCCAGATGAGCACAAATTAAAATGGAATCAGTACAATTTAGCACAACCCTAGCACTATACAAAAATGATCATTACATTTTTTTTTTAATTGCGGGGGCTAACTTGATGGAGCTCTTTTTATTATCAATACAATTTATTTATTTTTTAAGGAGCTGAACTGCAGAACTACTTGCAATATAATCAGTAAATCATTCTTGAAATACGACCCTGTGCGGATCGTGTAGGTATGACTCAAATGGCAAATACCCAGAAATGTGAGTTACATCTTGCAGCCCCCTTTGTGTGGTGATTTTGTAAGGTGAAGCGGGGAAGAAACAATAATATCACCTGCATACAGAATGTTAGTCATCAAAGAATAAACAAGAAACAACCCCCGGTTGTACAGCATCTTTTCCACGAATAACAAAAGATGAGTCATCTGTATTTTCTCCCTCACATTTTACTCACGGTCGCAGTTCCTGTCAGTTCAAACAGTTTTAGGTTATGTAAACAATCTTTATTTTGCCGCTAATTATTAATAACAAATTATATAAGAAGATGCTGGCCGAAGTTAATCAGACTGAAGAATTTACCTCTTTATCAAAACAACATGAAGCTAAACGATTTTACGTATTCTGCCATCACGTATTTCACATAAAACACCAACTGATGTGTTCGATATGGTAACATTTTTAATTTATCGCTTACAGTATTCCACGTTAACCTGATTTACAGCTTAGAGGTATATAATTCACCTACGGAACTCACAGATTGTAAACACGTATTTTGCAAAGACTGCATTGTGGACTGCTGGGAGTATTCCAAACCAAAATCGACATGTCCCGTCTGCCAGAAAGCATTCCAGAAGAATCATATTAAGGAGCATCTGTTCTTTAAAAAGCTCTCCGAGTTTATTAGGAATGCCCTGAAACATATTTATTTAGTGCTGGGAGGTGAATGCAATAGTAAGTATCTAGTGCCGGTTTTTCTTGTATGTATCGTTTAAGCTTATCTGATAGACAACCCCCTGTGTGAATACGTTTGTTTCCTTGTAAATTAACTGTCAGGTCAGTTTTAGTGGGACAAGAAAGGTTGGCCCTCAATTTAATAATTTAGCTATGTGCGTCTTGTGGTAGTAAGTTACCTTAAGAACATAATGTTTATAACCAATTAATGTGAATAATTGAGGGAAGGAAAATTTTTTATACATCCTCCCTGATAGCAGAGGTCCCTTCCGCCAAGTTTTAAAATACAAACTTATGTAGATTTGCGATTACTAAACAACTTCATTTAACGGCAAGTGTGGTTATAACTTTATAAGCATACCTTACTGTCATGAGACTCACATTCATTGGCTGCCGAGTATGCAGGTTCTACTTAGCAATCATGTGTGCTAGTGCGTTACTACCCTAAAGTGTACTGATCTCATTGTTCAACAGATTAAGGACCTATCTTGTATATTTCATGTTTTATTTAATAGATGCAGGCACCTTATATGTGAATGCATTGGTGTCCTGGAAATGAAAGCAGAGTCCTAAACACTTCTGTACCTACAGTGTTAATAGTAATAGCCATTGACTTAAATCGTTATTTTTTTGTTATTTGCGAGTTTGCGACAATGTTGATTAAATTAGATCACTCACTAGTAGGCGAGGGACACTTTGTGACCGTAAGGCACAATCTTCAAATGATTATAACTTTTGTTGAAAACTGATTCTAAAAAACTGTTCGACAGTTTTGTTCCTTACTTCATCAAGGGTGTACACAACAAATTTCGTCCATTTTTGTTGTCCAGCCAAGAATTGCAGTGAAATTTGTTTTTGAATTTTCAAAAACTAATTTCAGATTCCTGATTATCATGTTCAAAAAGCCCCAGATACCACTTTTCGTCGAAATCAGAATTTTTTTCGCACGCCCATTTAATAGGGGTGCGCCCTTTCATTGTAGGAATTTTGAAAAATTGTTTGCAAAATTGGAAAAGGCATATCCGAAAACCTATTCAAAGATGTGGCACCAGTCTTTCTAACTCATATCGTTGCTGAGAAAAAAATTAAAGAAGAAATGCAAATTTCACGTGACACTTTTTGGGGGTGGTTCCCAAACAAAACAAGTTGGACTCTCGGTTTATTTGGAAAAAAAGCTTGTTTTGTTCCTCTCTAACGCTCTTACATACTTATATGTAACACTATGTATATCTATGTGTTAAGTACCTATTTTATTTAGTAGATGTCCTCCCAAGATTTCCCCAGATCTCGCGTTTGAATATACAATGTGTCCCAGATCGCGTGGGATTGCATGGGTAACTTTGTTATTATTAAAGATAGAGAATTGGTTAAATGGGCAATGTTTTGCAGTTTTAGATGCTCATTTAAAATTTCCTTTTAGAAATTCAAAATGTCGCATAGGTTCGACGTAAATTCAAAAAAACTAAAATTGGTCATTTCCTTGAATGTCTTATATCATCGAAAGTATAAGAGATATAAGTAAAAAAAGTTTTATATAAAAGTGACTGTCTTTGATATGCTTAATTTAGAATTGATGTCAAAAAAAAATTCAACATGACTACTTTTGAGGAACATTTACCAACTTCCTAAAGTTGCGCCATATGGGATTTTTAGATTACTTGATAGATTTTTTAATTCTCTTTTCAACAAGCCATCATAACATAAGATTGAAAATAAGATACCAGTTATATCAACGGTTTTTATATTTTAATCAAGTAGGCTGTGATGAATTAAAAAAAAACAAAACAAAATCAATTCGAGCCAACAAAACAATGAAAATAATTACATCAGATGTTTAAAATACTGGCCATTATTAGTGAAACACACTCCAAGATAGTTTAGTTTAGGCAACGTGTTGCAGAAAGTTTAGTTTAGGCAACGTGTTGCCATTGATGATTATTATTGTAGTGGTAGCTACTTCCACTTTACTTTTATTTTTTAATTAAATCCTTACTTTTATAATTTAATGTACTGACCTAACCATAAGGAAATTTTAAATAAGCATCCAAAACTGCAAAACATTGCCCATTTAACCAATTCTCTATCTTTAATAATAACAAAGTTACCCATGCAATCCCAGGCGATCTGGGACACACTGTATGTAATAGTATATCACTGAGCGCGGTCAGAAATCATAAGTAAGCAAGTTGTAGTACACATAAATCGAGACATAAATAGTATACCCACAAATTGCATGAGATGCTGACAATTTTTGCGGCTCGACCAAGAATTGCACCAACAATTTTTTTGTTTCGAGTTTTAAATGAGACTGTTATGCTCTCTCCCAATCAATTACGATGAAATTTTGCAGGTGGGTTTTTAATCAAATTTGTAGATTGAAGTTTGTGAATTGTGTAGGCCAAAAAATAAGAAAGGCCCTTTTGACATCTCCGTTAGTTATGAACCGAATTTCATGAAATTTTGTAGGCACCTCAAATGAAAGTAAAACTAATGCCGAATCAAACAAATTTGTTTTGCGCATGCGCAATCCGATTTTTTTATTTTTGAAGATATTTCAATAAAATTTGGGAAATGTGCTTTTTGTAAAATCATTTGCGATTATTTTTTAACTTGTCATCTCGGCCATTTACAAACAAAATTTCATGAAATTGAAACTGGCCCTAGCCAGTACCATATCAAATGTAATGTCAGCGCATTGGCACTTTTGATTATGTATTGTTAGGGTGGAAAAAATGCTTTCCAACCATACCAAATAGCATTACATTTAGGTTAGTAATTATCGTGCAAATCAAAAAATAAGGTAGGTAATATGATACATTTGAAATCTGTCGTATTTAAAACGCAACCGGCGAACATAGACGAACTAAGACAGATAATAATTCAAGAATGTCGAAATATTGCAAAACCAATATTATTGAAATAAAAGCCAATTTTAGAAAATGCATCATATTAGTTTATTTTTTGATTTGCACGATAATTACTAACCTAAATGTAATGCTATTTGGTATAGTTGAAAAGCATTTTTTCAGAGCTTTCCAACGACATATCACACATGGGGGGTCACTATTAAGATTTAAAAGTTGAGGTGGCTGGGGCGCAGGGGGTTGGAGGGGGTGCGTCGCCAACTATGTCATTGTGATTCCCCCTCGGAATTACCGAAACGGATTTTGATTTTTTTAAATATCTCGTTAATTTACTAAGACATGGGGGGGTGGTAAGTTTTCAAATTGCCACCCTGTATATGTATGGTGTGTCCTTTTTTGGTTGGGACTGCAGTGTATCTCGGCTGACATTAAAGATAGACTTGTGGTTTTCGCGACCATGTGCCACGTTATGGCTACATTTGTCTCTGAGATACAGGGGAAAACGAAAAGTTTGACCTTTTGGGCCATTATCATATCTTACTATCCATGTAAGATGGATAAAAGGTAAAAACTGCCTAATTTAGATATTTGTACGTAGAATCCAGTGGCATAGTCAAAAAAATGTGTTGGAAGACCGTTTCTGAGATATAACCCAAAGTTTGTATTTTTGAAATGCGTGCATTTATATATTTTTTTTTAATTTTAGCCATGAACCAAGAAAAAAAATTTCATTTTTTTACGGGTTTGAAATAGTAGGCCACGGACTTTTCGTCTTCACCCCGTATTTCAGAAACAAACGTAGCTAGATTGATTCTGTTTGTGGTATTAAAAGTTTCACAAAAAAGGGCACAGAGTCGCGAAAACCGCAAGCCTCTCTATCTTTAAAAACAGTTGAGAGACACTGCAGTCCCGATCAACATAACATGGTACAGTCTAAAAAAGGCTCAGCCCAAAAACTGAACATTTTCAAAAAATTGCATAATTCGATTTCTTTTTAAATATGGCACTTATTAAAAAAATATCGCAAAAGAAAGAATGGCATCGAATGTTATCTTTTTCCCATACTGCAAGGTTTTTGACTTTCTCTATTTTTTCTAATGCAAAGTTCGGTATACCTAAATAACTTCTATTGGTTGTTTTGTGATATTTTCAAAGATAATGATCTGGTTCTATCCCCTTAGGTCACAGTGTTAAATAATTGATTAATGAATGACAAGTTAACACCGACATAACGGTAGCTGTTTTTGGGATAAATTCTTTGCTTTCACTTCCTTGTCTGTCCTTTTTTAGATTACGGTACTTATGAACGTAGCTTGGAAAGATGCAAAAGTCACAAAGATCTCACATTTCACTTTTGACACCCAAAGGCAAAAGATTCCCTCTAAACAACGGCGTTACCTTTAAGAAAATTCGGCTATGCCATGTAGGAAACGATTGTTTTCCCAGCCGACACAGCATATTCTGTTATCTACATCCAAAAATTAAAATTTAAATTAATTGTACAATCTGTAATTGGTCTTAAAACTCAAATTAATTAAATGCGCTTCTTTTGAGACCCCAGGCGACTATGTGGAATGACGTTTACTGCAACCCATTTACTGTTCATTGTCCTTACTTAATTGGCCAGATTGAAATGTCTAAAATCGGTAGTTCAATTAACACCTATTGCTAATTGCAATTCCTCGGGTTGGTACACAGGTCGCTGCATGACCTTGTAGTCTTAATGCTCGTTTTAAATTAACATAGGAAACCAAAATAATTACTTAACGGAGCTGAAATTCTAAAATATTAATACGCCCTCGTCTTCTAAATGACAAGAGCTTTCGGACGCAACAAAAATAATAAATTATTGAAATATCTTGACGGGAACGGTTGCAAACGGCGGATTACCTTTAGCTTCTATCTTCAATTCCAAAAACCAACACAGTTACGTTTGGCACGACACTTTTCGTAACGAAGTGCCAAACTTAAAACGCTTCTAGATACCGGGTGCTCATATATGGAGGGGTCACCAAAACTGGTGACTTGACGACAAAAAATAGGTGCTTTGTTACAACTGTATTTTCGTTACACAACAATAACAAGAGAAAGGAGAGAAAGGATAATGTTAACTGTCACGAAATTTGTCATCGCTGTAAAAAGTAGGTGGTACTAAAAGTCATAGTTTGTTAGATAGAAGGTGTGGTTTAATTTCAAGGTACAGAATCCTGTTATTCAATTACCAAGCCTTCTTCATATTCAAAATATCTTGCTCCCGTCCTAAAGATGCATTTTTTTTACAGAATTACCATCATATGTGCAAGTGCATCAGCTATGGGCGGAAAACTCTCATTTAACTGAAATATTTAATAATATTAAAAACATTATAGAATCTCCTGTCACCGCGATAAAAGGCAGTGCTGTTTTAAATAATCACAAAATTGTAATTGAAGCAAATCAAAAATTTTACTCAAACTCCAGCACAGCGAAAGGTAAATTTATTTCCCCATGAAATCATTATGAATCAATCTTTAGTTACAGAAGATCCATTTGATGTCCTTTTGATGACGCCTACAGCAAATACATTTTTCAAAAAACCAAGACCGTCTGCTAGTAAAGTATATCATGCTAAAAGGAGTGAAAAGGAATACACAAAACCTCGGAATACGGGCACTGTGCTACAGTTTGAAAACGAATCACATAGGACAGACATTTTACATTGGCTTGAGGACAGCAACAACCGTTTCGATTGCAAGGTATTTACGCAAACTCAACAAATTGTCCCGGATATCCCTGACTTTGATATGCCTTCGGCTTCTCAAGCGGTTAACTTTATGAATCCAAAATTTAACAGCACCAACAGTACGGAACTAAAACGTCAGAAAGACATGCAAAACGAATCTAGGGTAAAATCCAATATGTTAGTTCGATTAAGTCGACCTGTGCAATTTGTTAGTAATAAGGTTGAGCGACCTGAGAAACGCACACGGTCTTTAGAACACAATGTGACCACCTCAATTGCGAATACACGCCCGAAGCGGCATAGTTTACATGTATGTAGTCAAGATGAGGAAATTGTAATTGATCAGTTTGATAGCGAGAAAGATGCTCTACCGACAGATAATCCGCAGAAGGTGGCTCTTGTAAATTTAATGGAGAACGAGTATATCAACGCAATTGACAATGAGGTGCGTGCGTTGAAGACGGTGGATAAACGCAAAAGATCTTTGCGAAATTCTAATGAGAAGGTCGACAGCAATTTAAATGTTTCTCGTGGTTGGAATAGATTGAAAGCGGTTAAGAAAACCTTTGCCCAAACCGAAAAGAAGTCTTCCAAATTAAAGGTGGTGGTTGGAAATGCGGTCAATCAATCACAGAACAATTTGCGATCGAAAACCAAGAAGACTCCAGCGAAAACTGTTAAACCGGTTGAGTCACCCGTGAAGCAGAAACCTAAAAGTTATCCTTTAAATGAAATTGAACTTTACTTCAATTCTAAATTGCTGAATGATGAAGATCACGTGAAGGTCAATGACGAAATTCTGCAAACCACGCCCAAGAAGCATATGAGCGAGGAAGAACGGATCGAAGACAAAATCACAGTTGCCCAAAGTGGTGACAGTGGCAAGGTGGCACAACGAAATACTGAGCGGGCTAGCAGTGGTGGGGGAATGGAGAAAAATGAGAGTATATCTCACCCTGAGAGTATTAGAGATTTTATGGGGGAGCATCGTGTTGCAAAGTTAACTCAGGTTAAAAATGATACAAAAGAACACAACCGTCCAAGTTTTGAAGTAGTTGTAACGAAAGCGGTTATAGAAAATCAACATCTGCAAGAATCACATCCGATTGAAAAATCTGTGCATTGCACTCCCGCTCCCATTGCGGAAGATAAGTGTAAGGTGCAGCAAATCGATTGTGAAGAATTCATATCAAACACTCATCCATCCCAGACAATATCTACAAATGAACTACTCCGTGAAATTGACAACGATTTCATTTTTGCCTTACCTACTCCAACAATTACGAATAGCAGTATAATAAACCAGTTAGGTAGAAAGTTATCATCAATCAGTGATATTGTTAATGACCATCGTGACGATCCCGCACCACTGATGTACCAAATAAGGCAAATACTGAATGGAGCGCCGTTGCAACCACCTCCCGCGCCAGAAATGAAGAACACACACGTACAAACGGCAGTTAGTGTGGACGATACCTGTACCGTTGGCACACAATTTCCTGGTTTTCACTGCAAAGATATTGGTATACAAACGGATTCCTTCGATACTTCACATGGCTTTAGAATTTCATCAACGGAAATGTTCAATTTACAGCCGGTCGTTTCTTCTGCCATTCAAACTGATCCACTCGTTTGCGTGCATTGCAATCGCGAGGCGACAGGTGCATTTGAAGAAAATAACGCGCAAAGGTATGAGTTCTCGGCTAGTTTCGATAATCTCAACTTCGATACTCAAGATATCGTCTTGGGTCAGCAATTTGCTATGAGAAAAGGTACCCAGAATTCGAACTCCGCCGCGCAGTCGCAAGCGTCGAAAAATTTCAAGAGAATTCGACAGCCAAGTTCTGGTAGCGAGTCTGATAATGAGAAGGTTAAAGCGAATACTACCAAGAAGAATAAAATCGAGCATGCAAGTACAATTCAATTACTCATCGACACGAAAGCTAAGCTTAGAAGAGATTCTCCAGGAATTCGAATGGAAAATAACGATGTTTCAATTAAGCACGACAGTGCAGTTCAGTTGCTCATCGACAGAGAGGCCGAGCTTCGAAGATGTTTTCCGGAAATTGTATTGGAAGATAATGATCTTTCCCTTGAGTTTCTTTCTGATTTTAATATGAATGTTAGAGAAGAATCTCAGAAGGGTAACAACAAAGGACCTGTGGAACCTGAGGTATGTGTAATGTGTAATTCTTTAGTTGCATGTCAAGAGTGGGAACAGTGCCCCATACTGTTTCTGCACTTAATGTACAAGCACTTTGTGTCATTTAAATTTTATAGTTTTATTTTGCATTTTTGTGTGGATTGTGGTACAGTGATTACTTTAATGTACAAGGTGTATGAAAGAGGGCCTCAGTTGTCAAGAATTTTAAAAGTGACCGAATGTATAAACCTTTAATTATAAATTACCACTTTGCGCTATACCGTTCTTCAAGGTGGATCTACAGAAGGAATATTGTTTTTTATCTCATTTTTATTACATAAGAAAGACAAAGACTTAAATTCATTCTAGCAAATAATCAGACAATAATGCTCGACAGCTCAACTGAGTCATCACCAGAGTTGGACTGGGTCAAGCATAGAGTGACCCGGTGACCCAGTTAGTTTACTGATCCGGTGACCAGTTGACCCGGTGACCCAGTTGACCCGGTGACCCAGCTTGACCCGGTGACCCAACTTAACCCAGTGGCCCAGCTTTACTCGGTGACCCATCTTGACCCGGTGGCCCAGTTTAAATCGTTGACCCCTAGGTTGATCCAGTTGAATCCGGTGACCCAGTAATTAAATTATTGTTAGGTATCAAGTATTTAGAGGAAAGATTTATTTGGATTAAGCTAACTATTAGAAAAAAATTAAATGTGAATGAACACCTGTAAGCAAACTGGTAAGCCCTGAACCAAAGAAATGAAGGAGGGAACTGTTTAGAAATAACATTACTATAATACAATTCGGGACATGGAAAGTTTTTTACGGCAGTATTAAACATCAGAAGAATGGCAGTTGTCAAGCAATCAAGTATTATTTTCAACAAACCAGCATTAAGTTTCATTTATTTCATAATCTGTACACTTGAACCGACTTGAACACTGACTTAACTGCGTTATTCGATCAAACTAGGTTACTGGGTCAAATTGGGTCCCCAGGTCAAACTGGGTCGCTGGGTCAAACTGGGTCACTGGATCAAACTGGGTCACTGGGTCTAACTGAAAAGAGTATGACGTGACCCGGTGACCCAGTTTAATTAGGTGACCTAAGTGACCCAGTTGACCCAGTGACCCAGGCCAACTCTGGTCATCACATTCTGCAAATTAATTCTTATGTAGTGCCTTGATTACTGCCTAAGTACCAAATGTTAGGTAGTGGGTTTCTCAGTATACATATTTTGACACCCACTTATTTTCATTAATTTTGGGAAAATAATCTTTCTTTTTTTATGTAAAAGTATAGAGTGTAACACGTCATTATTTTCCTTTTTTGTCCCGTTTCATTCCTAAAAATCCAATATGGTGCCCATAAGAAAAAGAAAGTAGTAGCCTGTAACTTCGAAATCTATCATGCTATGGAAATTCTGATAACAGATTCAGATTCTTCGAAAAAAAATGCCCATAGAAGGGGCTAACGGGAACTGTTCATTTCTGACCAGTTGCTAGGGGAAAATGAAAACAAGATTTGACATTTTTAGATTTTCGGTCAAATCCCAGTTACTTTCAAACATTTTCTAAAGCTTTTTTCACAAAAAGGGGCAACGTTGTCCAATCGTGAGCCACGAATTTGAACCAGTGTAGAATTTATATTTTAGAATACTTTTTCGTAATCCCCCCGTACAAATTTGAAACTGTCTGAGACAGCGATTTGAAAGTTGGAGAAGGGGAGTTATACAATACTATTTAGTGCGGATGTAAACAGCCGTCCCCTCTATATTGAACAAAAGTAAACCGTTTGAAACGATTTGAAAGTGAGGGGGGTTGTAAAATACTATGTCTTGGCATAAAATTAGCAATTGTGATGGCAACTGTATCCCATTTTGAATTTTTTTTATGTTAGGAGGTAATGTGATACCTCATTTTGAAGGTCTTTTAATCCGCAGTTCACCTCCCCATTTGCAAATCGCCCAGCTAAAATGGCGCTTTGTCAAAATTTATTTTTTTTAATATACGAGGGCTATCCAGAAAGTAACGGACGTTTTGAAATAAAGAATTAAGAAAGTGTAAAAAACAACTTTTATTATATGCATTTGGAAGCTACACTATTTCTTAACATAGTCGCCATTCATATTGAGGCACTTATAGTGTGGTACAAGTGTTTTGATTTCAACTTTGTATACATCCGCCGCCTGAACCTTTAACCACTGGTTAACGCCGGCTTGAAGTTTGGCATCACTGTCCATGTGCTGTGTTGCGAGCGAGGTCTTCAACGCTGGGAAGAGGTGGAAGTGGCTTGGCGCTAGATCCGAATTGTATGGAGGGTGTTCCAAAATCATCCAAGAGTTGTCCAGTATGGTTGACTGTGTGCGGGCGAGCGTTGTCGTCCAAAAACAAAAGTTCCACCTCTTTCTCAGCTATGAAGACCTGACTCGCAACGCAGCGGTTAACTTCATGTCAGCGGTACCCAGTGCAGGTTAAAATCTCAGGCGGCTGATACACAGTTGGAATCAAAACACTTGTACCACGCTATGATAAGTGCCTCAATTTGTATGGCGCTTGTGTTGATAAATAGACCAAGAGTGTAGCTCCCAAATGTATATAGTAAGAGATTTCTTTACAAATTTACAATTTTTTATTTCAAAACATCTGATACTTTCTGGACAACCCTCGTATGTTGACCACATATCTAAACTAATTGTGTGTGGTTTTCGCGCACAACTGTAAACTGCGGATAAAAAACCTTCAAAATGACGCAAAGTCGCCGTCTTGGAAGTTTTTAAACAACCTGACACATAATTAAGTGGTATTTTTGTTATTAGAGAGCTTTTTATGTCAGAATAATTTGAAACCTTATGATTTGTCCGTTATTGGTTTAAGAAATTGTATTTGAAAGGTTGCGCCATTTTGGGCTAAGGGTATAAAGTTTTTTTTATTTATTTATTGTTATACTTATATAATATTAAAATGAATCGACCGTTTTGTCGCCCAAAACTTACTTTCGCTGGATTCTGTGCCCACAATTAATAGTGTTCATCTACGAGACAACCTGAACACTTCAGTATCAAATATTAGTACAGAATTTTTTTCGGTTATTATTTTCCCTTTGTAAATACCCTCTTCCGACATTCCATTTTTGAGTTATTCTCATTTTGAAGTTTTACTCCACCGACGAATGCGTTTCGTCGATATGTATCATTTTCGCTTTTCAAGTACCCTCTTCTTACACTCCTTTTTCTAGATATTCACATTTGAAGTTTTCCACCGAGAGTTGCTCTTTGTTGACATATATCATTTTCCCTTTGTAAGTGCTCTCTTCAAACATTCTGTTTCAAGATATTCACGCTTGACTATACCTATGGATGAGTCTATTGACACATTCTTACTTTTAAAATTTCAGAAAGATTGCACCACCAATAAGAAAGTTAGTTCTGCACATGTCGTAAGGAATCGTCTTCCTTTAATAGAAGGGGTCACTGTTGAAATTTAAAAAAAATGTTCCCGAAAGGAACTTGCTTCAATATATTTTTCTTCATTGGAGTTTTCCCGAAAAGTGGTTTTTTTTAAGGAGGAATGTGCTCAAAATCAATACAATATAATACACCGTAAACAATATTAAGTAATAAAACGTATAAGTATATGCTCTATTATGATCCATTTTTCTGTGTTCTGTCTTCTCTTTCAAATTGATCATAATACCTAAAACCAAAAGAAATTGCACCTAATCAGACAGACGCGCATCGGCTTTATGCATTCATAATCAGTATCACTTTCCCATAAGGAATGCTAATTTTGAAGTACCTACTTATTACAGAATGGTACTCTATGCAGTACACATACTGTGATACAGTATGTACTCTTGATTGTCGGCAAAAATTTATCAAACGCGAAATTTATTGGATATATTAGCGTCTCCTTAAACAATTAAATTACTTCATGGGTTCATGCATTAATTATGCATTGCATTTTTACTAGGTGATTGCAATTAAGCACCAACCAACTACAGAACCTACAGCGAAAGTGGTCACATCCGTCTTTGAAGAACCCTTACCAAAACGTGTTAAAACACAAGATTTATTAAAAGAATGCGAAATGATTATTAGAGGGGCTTGTTCGACGACTATGCGCATAGAACACACTCAGTCTAGTCACGGAAGTGTGAAGCTTTCGCTCGATGACATAGCGGATGAATTTAATCGTAATTTTGAGGATGGCAACAGTAATAAATCGTCTAACAATCCCGTTAATAACAACAAGCACTCTGAGTCAATTTTTGGTACCATTCACAACAAAAACTCGCAAGTGAAGAAACCGACAAGTTCCGCCCCAGGTGAAACAGATAATAACAGTATCGTTAATCACTTGGAAGGGTTGGATGAATGCTTTCAAGATGATTATGATCCAGAAATAGAACTGATCACCCGCCCAATGTTAAAAAAGGACGAAAATAAAGTTCATGTTGTTCAGGATATACTAATTCCAAAGCAGGTTGAAAATGGTTCCATGACTGAAGATATCCATGAAATTGTCGATTCGGATGATGAAGTGATTGAATCTACACCCCAGAAAAATAGAGTGATGGCACAACCTCTAGCAGCTGTGTAAGTATATTACCGCAATCTTCAATAACTGTGCCTTTTCTATTTCATTTTCCGCTTCTCTTATTATTGCATTGAAAAATATATATGTATTTATTTCTGTTTCTATTTCCACTCTTTCACATTTTCTTCTACCTGTTTCTTTTTCACCTGTTTCAACTTTTTCCATTTTTTATTCACACATATCTCTGATCCGTAGCCTTTTCTTTATCCTTGCATAAATTCATTTTAACATGCCCTACTTTAGGGATCAAAATGTTTGGCTCAGTATTAAAATAAGGGCTGTGAAGTTAACTGTACATAAAAAACATATCTCAAGACCTCATGATATCCATACTTGCTTTGTTAGGAAATCAAAATGGCGACCCTTGAGGTAAGTATACTGACTCGATTAGAACTTTTTGGCACAAATCTCACGACCATACGCGATGGTTAACGCCTCGTTTGGTCAAATTTGTGCCACGTTCATTTACCTCAAATCTTACAATCGAGGGCGTTAGTTAGTGCCTCGTTTGCATTGGTTAAAAGTGACATACAGGTTCCATTATAAAAGTAGTGCGCTTTTCTGGGAAAAATAGTTTTATTGATCATACCAGTACAAATGCTTTAAATTCCTCAAAATATCCCCCCCCCTCTCTCCCGCATCAATACTTTTGGGGAAACGGGTGTACCACGCCAGGAAGGCATCACTGAAACTCCTTGGCAGGAATGAAGACGATATCAGAAGTGGAGGAGTAATACCAAATAATTATTGGTCGATAGTTATTATACAGATGACCTCTATCTTTCGAGTTCCATAAGGTCTATCTGCTTGAAACTCTTCAATATTTACAATTCAGCTATTTTGCATTTTAAATATTCGTACAAGAACCATTTTTCACTCACATTGTAAATACTACGCAATGCATTCAGTATCTTTATATATAAAAATAAACCCCTGTTTCTTCTGGTCACGCAATAACTTTAGAACGACTTGACCGATTCCATTCATCTTTTTTTTTTTTAAGTTTTCTAATACTGTGTAGAAGGTTCTTACGGCAAGAAAAACTAAGAAAATCGCCCAGAAAATTGGAAAATTGGAGAAAATTTATCGACTATTTAAAACATCGCGCGTTTGACGGTGCGACGGCAATTGTTTTAACAGCTACATCGATCGGCATAATATATCCGTCAAAAAAATTAATTTATTCATATCATAGTGTGCTGTCAATTCGATCGGATCGTTTATTCAGATTTCAGTGAGTTTTTTTAGAAGTTTCGAAGTTATTTCACCGCAATAATATTTGATATACCTAACATCCATTTTTGGTAAGTGTTGATAGACTAAACGCGTGGTATACATAGTTAGGTATACAGAAACACTAAGGGAGACAATTTCTATTTTCAGTTGAATTTTAGTTTTTTTTAAATCCTACTTATGAGATATATCAACATATGGTACCAACTTAGGTCGCAGAATTCGTAATCCTACAAGTCAAACATATACCGGGTGGTACTCGGTAAGTAAGAGTAAGAGTTAACAGTTGTTCAGAATTAAAAGGTGCATGCAAAACTGTTTTTATTAAGCTTTAGGTATACCCGCAAATTTTAAAATAACCATGACTTTTGTTGTTTTATGAATTGCTACTAATAACAGAAATGTTGTAATTTATTTTTAAATTTGCGGGTATACCAAAAGCTTAATAAAAACATGTAAAAACAGTTTTGTATGCACCTTTTAATTCTGAACAATTTTAAACTGTACAGTTTTTTCTGTAAAATGTACAGGAGAGCAGGATATTGCTTAAAACTAATTTCCCTTGTTAAATCCCCATGTTCCTATTTACCGTGCACCACCCGGTATACGAGTAAGTCAAACTGGCGAGCAAAGCGAAGCGCGAAACAAAGTTAATGGGATCGATATGAACAACGCAGAAATGTCCCCTTTAATCCCTATCGAGCTGCATTTAATTATAATGTAGCAATCGATTATAGTTTACATTAAATCGTTGCTATTAGACCAAAGAACTTTGTGTGTCCACATTGCAAGGCTACTGAAGCTCCTGGATTATGTTGCGCCATTGGCCAAGTGAAATTGATGCCATTGGTACGGCCACCAGAGCCACTACATTCCTTGGTTTCCGGAAATGGGTCAGATTCTATACATTTTTTTACTCATATCCTGAAATACAATAATTGCCTCGATAATTGCTTTCAAATTACGGCATTTGGCGCAAAAAAAAGGTACGTTGCTCGCTCTGAATCACCAAAAGCAACTATAGAAGTGAGTGCGTTTATTTTTTATTATTTTTGGGAGAGATGGGGAGATTTTGGGGCAAGTGTGTCAAAATCTCTTTTCCGGCTAAACAGTTGAACCGATTTAAACCAAATTTGCTACACATATTCTTAGACATAAAAGGGTAGAATCGCGCATAAACAGGTGGGGCGGGTGGTACCTGTGCTAGCCACAGCAATTTTTTGTTATTATTTATTCCAGTCCGAATTGAATAGGTATTCATAGCTAAGAAAGAGGACAACGTCCGTCGAGTCAGCTAGTTTTCTATATGAAATTCATTTGTAAATGAACTACCTTTACCATCACAGGGTTTAACTTCTCGGAAAAGAAATGGGTGCCAGGGGGCCGCTTACGTTTTTGCGTCTTTGTTACACTTACTTGTGGAATTGTTAACCTCTCCTCTCCTCTTAAACCTTACCATTATCGATCAATTCACCAGAATTTTTTGCTACCATCTCTTTCTCGCTCATGTGTAGACGTGATAGAGAATAAAGAACTTAGTTCACAAACTACTGACGCAGAGCACACCTTTCGTGAATTCAACTGTATATGCGATTGATTACCTTTCAAGCATAAGCCATTAGAAGAAATAATCCTTTATTTGCAATTTTGGATTTACCTATTTTTATATTCTCGGTAGATTCTTCTCTTTTCCCAAATTTTTTAGGAAATATCTAGCAATACTTAAAAATTTGAAGTACCTACTCTTGCATACCAAGACTGGGCCACCTCACCAAAACATGTACACCTACTTCGACCTCTTCGAAGTACTCCTAATACTTCGACAAGTACTTTGTGACTACTTTGAATAGTTCGAGAAGTACTTCGACTCCGTTCTCGTAGTTCTATTGTACCGTCGCAGACAAAAAGTTGTAACGTGCGCATGCGCGATCACCGTCAAGCTTTATGTTTCCGTACTACTTCGACTACTTCAAAAAGTACTTCGAGTGACTTGTACACCTACTTCGACTAGTGGACCAGTCTTGCTACATGCTAACAAAGCTTGAGAGAATCTTTTTTTCTAATCAAATAATTTTTGTACTTTCAGTTCCGCATTGTCTCAGGCGTACTACAATCCAAGTGCTCTAGAAAAACGACCACCTTTGTTACAAAACAATGATTTGATGCCTTGCGAAACTATACAGCCTTTAGACGCGGATCCTTTGACATGTTTAAATGAAGCATTTACTCCTCCTCCAGAATTTCAAGACCCTGATATTGAAATTGTCGAATCTCCGAAACACAATAATGTCGAAGATGTGGTACCTAACGCGTCTGTAACTCCCGATTTGTTAATCCATGACGCTGAATTACCAAACGAAAACGCCGCTTTCATAACGAGCACACCTTTTTCCTGTGCTTCGCAAGCACTGTCGTTAAAAAGATTGAATTTGTCGCCCATTCGTTCATCGCACAAATACGTTAATCCGATATTAGCTGCTCAAAACGCATCAAGACTACCCTTGAACATAATAGAAACTCCTTCAAAACAGCGCGTGGTATCTCTTGTTACCTCTACACCAAAACGAAAACAAAAAAGCATTTTAAATTATGTGAAACAAGACGATACACACAAGGAAAATATTATTTCGCAACCGGATTTAATAAATAAAAAGCCTAATGTTTGCTACACTAGGCTATCCATGAATGAGATGATGCACGTAAATTCGTTGGCTAAAAGGAAACTAATAACGGTATCTAACACTTACGGTACATCAGTGACTCATATGATAGTTTCGGTCGACAAGCGCAACTGTTTAGAACATCACACAATGAAGTACATGTTGGCGGTTGCCGCTGGAATTTGGGTCCTTAGCTTAAAGTGGATCGAGGAATGTTTGAAACAAAACGAAATTGTACCCGAGGTGCACGGTATAAACTTGACATCATTTTGTAATTTAACCTGCGTGTCATTCTAGGAAGCGTACGAAGTATTGGACGTAACAGGCACTGATGGTCCTCATCGCTCGCGTTTAACCAGATCGAGAGCGCCTTTGCTGGAACGTTACAAAATATATGCAGCGCCCCCATTTAGGTCTGCAACAAAGATGGAGGTTGAGGTAATTTCTGGCATGTTTTACTTTTATTATGTAATTACATTTTTAGCATGTAATTCAGCTACTTGGCGGTGACGTGGCGTTGAGACCGGAAGACTTGTTGAATAAAAATGGTAAAATTTGTCTTATTGTCACCGAAAACAGTGAATCTCACGATGAAGAATATGAAGGTATGTCTCTAAATATGAATTAATGCTGATTAATTTCATAGTAATTTCGAAGTTGCAACTTTTTGATTATTACTTTCGTTTAAACTTGAAATTCTTACGTCATCTATTTATTTCCTTTATAATCAACTAGTTTAAACGTAAATTATTCTTGTAGTAGATTAACTTACTATTTTAGTTCTTTAGTTTGCCGTTAGAGGCCATTCGAGTGTTTGAAGTTTCTTTTACAATACTTCTGAGTCTTGTTGCTAGAGTTCGCGCTTTGTACCTTTCTGATATTAATTCTATTGCGCGCAGTTGCATTTCTTTTCCCTTCAGACAAGTTTCTGCCGTCGCATTGGTTACATGCAAATTTTCTCCTCCATTACTTTTACTGACTTCATGTCTTACATGGATAAAGGATTATTGTTTTGGCTGTTGCCATTTATCTTTGAAGTGGTTTCTCTTTCTCTTTTTGATGTCTGTAGCTGTGCTCCATTGAAGCATTTTTATGGTTTAAATCGTTTTTTAGGGCTTTACCTTCCCTTGGAACTGTTCTTATTGTTTCTCTTAAAATAATTGTCAGGGATAGAATCTCAAAAATATTACAAATAGGACACTAATGATATAGATCTGCGATGGCAATACTTAAATTTAAATTAATTTTAAGTAAAAAGAGTATCAACACGTGGTCAGAGCGAATATTAATATCAAAACAGGTTTCCGAAAAAACAACTGAGCTATAATCGTTAAATGACTCAAGCAAAGTTAAGAATTATAACTCGATTGTATTGAAAGCCAGTATGTAATAAAACGTAACACCAAAGAGTCGTCGACAAATTAAAAAATTACCTTTAAACTTCGGGTCGCACCCTTTTGAGCTCAAAGGGGCGCGTTTAGCCTAATCTGTAACAGACACCAACACAAACAAAAGGGGTAGTGAATAGCGCGGCACAAAATATATCGCATAAACAATGCTAACGTCTAACACAGGGTAATCGAATATTACACTAATAAATACTGTTGTATATTAATAGTAGTAGTGGGTTGTGAAATAGTTACTATGGTTTTTATGTTCAATAATAATAAATCTGTCATACATAAAAAAGAGGTGTATGTCTCGTGTTCTTTCCAATTCGAAGAATATATATTAATAATAATAATAATAATACAACACTACATGCTCACAAAATACTGTAATATCTCCACCAATAACCCAAGCAACCACACAAAAACAACTTACTGAACAAACAAAAACAATAAATACAAGTAACGCAACATGCACTACAAAGACAGGTCCACCCAATAAACGCTCTAGCATAGTTAAAAAATACAAAACTCCTTCTTCATAGAAACACATCACGTTATCACAACCCACTCGTATTCAACCCAAACGCAAATCCAAAGAAACACTTGACACAATAAACTGCATTTAATAAAATTGCTAAACTTACAGGAAATATTATAATTATTTTTTTTTTCCTCTTTTCTGATAGCGTTGGCTATTGTGCCCCTCAATAGCTATGTTGGTAAGATCAATAGCTATGTTGGTAAGTATGAATTACATACTATCCCTAGATTTGGAATGTGCGTGTGTGAATTTTTTTTTTTTAGGACCCTACATAACTTCACCAGACACACACACAAACACTAATCGTTAGTTGATTTTAATCCATGCGATTAGTTAACCAGGCTAGACCTGAGTTCTCACAAGAAACACCGACCATAATAATTACGGAATTCACCTGTTACATTAAATACCACAAAAAAAAACATGTGCTTAGCTAATTTAACATAAATTGATTTTCAACCTAATAAACCTTCGCTAAAAGACAATACAAGTAGAAAACTAGAAATCACACAAAAGAATAAAAACAAAAAATATTAATAGGCGCGGACGAATTTAGTTTCTTCTGATTAGAATTTGATACCCCAAAAACGAGTCCGATTTACAGTTTACACATCCAGGTATGAAGATTTTTTGCAACCCAGCCTCTGTTGCAATTATCATCGTTCAGTAGCCAGTTATAATTTCTCTCCAAAACTTTCTTATATGTAGAGCAATTTGATAGACATTTTTATTGTAGTAGTAAAAGCAAACAAAATGGACGTGCCGACAATTTTTTATCGTCCCACTCATATGATACCTGACTTGGATGCCTTTTTAGCGCATTTCCACAAAAATAAAAAAAAAATGCGCTATTGTGGCCACTTTGTCCGTCCGTCCGTCCGTCCGTCCGTAACTTTGCGACGCTACTAGTTTTTTATCTTAAGAGCTATTGTTCTACTTTTTTCGCTATTTGGTTCGTTATGGTGTCGAGTCTTGTACCAAGGAAGGAATTTTTTCTGTACCGCTTACAAAAAAAGTTATTGTAAAAAAAACAAAAAACCGTTTTTTACATGTTCCATAATTTTACACTTTTGCCGTTTATTAACGATCCTAGAGATCGTTTATAATTTTGCATTGCTATCTGTCGCCTGCCGGTTGGTCTCTCCGTCTGTTCCTTTGTCTGTCTGTCCATCTATCTGTCCGTGTGAACGATAACTTTGTTTAGAAATTTTCTATCGCTTTTACATCTCCGTTAGTTATGAACTGAATTGCATGAAATTCAATATGGGCATAGATTTAGCCATATAATACGCAATGCCAAAAGTTGAATCGAATCGATTCAAAATTCACAGTGCCCTTTTCGCATCTCGTCCATTTATAAACCGAATTGCAAACTTTTTTACTTATAAAAGTATTTAGATTTGGAATGTGCGTGTGTGAATTTTTTTTTTTTAGGACCCTACATAACTTCACCAGACACACACACAAACACTAATTTAGTTGATTTTTCCATGCGATTGGGCAACCTGAGTTCTCACAAGAAACACCGACCATAATAATTACGGAATTCACCTGTTACATTAAATACCACAAAAAAAAACATGTGCTTAGAATTTAAATAAATTGATTTTCAACCTAATAAACCTTCGCTAAAAGACAAACGCCAGAAAAAAGAAATCGCATGCGCAGTGCCAACTTTTTTATTTATGGAAGAATTTAAATGAAATGTGATACATAGGCACTTGGAATAAAGGAAAATCTAGCGCCAGTTTCAAAATTTTATTTTGCGCATGCGCAGTGCCAACTTTTTTATCTATGGAACTATTTAAGTGAAATTTGATACTTAGGCGCTTGGAACAAAGGAAAATCTAACATTAGTTTTAAAATTTAGGTTTGCGCATGCGCAGTTCCAACTTTCTTATTTAGAAAAGCATTGAAATGAAATTCTTCTCATAAACTGAAATTGAAGTAGCACGTCAACAATGGATTGCCCATGTGCAACGCTATCTTTCATATTTGTGGCCGGATTTTTACGATTTTAACAGAAGTTGCATTTTACAAATGGGAAATGAATGCAAGTGGAAATGCGCTTTATGTAAATCGTTTACGATTACTTTTTAACTTGTTTCTGTTTATCCCTTCTATCCCTTTTGAATTTTTATCTGTAAAGGCTGGGCAGCAAGACGATAAAATGCAGACTGCTCAATGGCTGAACCTGACTGGAGCAGCACAACAGATTAACTTGAGAATATACTAAAAAAAAATGGTAGCCACCTGACCAAATTTTGTTTTCCACAAATGATTAAAAAACTAAGCAATTATTATAAATATTACCATTGTTACAGCGTGGTTGGAAAAATTAAAAGTGGTTACAGTGGACTTGGAGTGGTTAAGTCGATCTGTTGGGCGGTTTCAAGTTTCAGGACTACGCCCATTCGCATTGTGTTCCGAAGATTCTTTTAGCGGCTTATCATATCCTGCCGAACTTCTCAGTGATGTGCCTTCCATGCTTACGTTAAATTAAAATAAGATACTTATGTTACTCTCTTTTAAATTTATAGATGACGCCATATTAAATACGTTATTTTTTTATAAATGTAGTTTATATTCAAATCTGTTTTATAACAGTTAGATGTCTGTTGTATGTAAGTATATGTATGTAGGTTTTAAAAGGTAATTAAATTTTGTTTGATTGTACAATATTTGAACATTTAGAACAAGGTTCATTCTCCTAGATTTACCATAATAGCAACTTATGTGTTCTGAGGTAATAGCTAATTTCATTATCAAAAAATATTAATTTTAAATTTTTCCTATTATTCCCCAAGTGCTTGAGAAGAACGACAAAACACATTTTCTTAATGTGTCATTTCTGGCTTACTAGCTTGTTCGTTCATTTGTTAGAACAAAATTTCCCACCTTAGTGCACGAGAACTACATGTACATTTCTCTTCGTGCTGTTTTAGTCAGTTATTGGGGAATCAAGCTTAGAAACTGACCGGTGCAATTTGACTACTTGGAAATAATTATAACCTGGAAACCAAGATGATGAATATGTCTTGCTAGACACAATAATTGTGACATTATTAACAATTGTAACAAATCAGCTCAATGATAAATTGGAAAAAACAAGGTGACATATGGAGCATTATGTTATGGCCACACTATCTTTATCTTGAACTATAAAGGAAAGGGGAGTGATAATATCCTATCAAGAGCAGTGCTGATATCCTATCAAGAGCAGTGCTGCACATTGAGACAAATTTTCATGTGGCGGCCATATTCTCTGTGCATAAGATAAAAACTGTTTACTTTTTGCATACACCCTGTGTTCAAGATAGGATGTCTTATCACGGGGATCTACGAAACCATAAAAGACAGGACTATGGTCAAATTAGAGAAAAAATGGCGCAATTAAAGTCATTAATCATGCTTTAAATAAAACCAAAAAATTCTGATTGTGTCCAAAGTATGGCAGAAAAACCGAAATTTGCGTAAAAAAAGTACACCATATCTAGTAGCTTTTTGTATTGCAAATACAAAAGTATATTGAAACTGTTGGTTTCAACAAGATGGTGCACCAGCGCACAACGCCTTAATCATGTGAGAATACCTATCGGAAATATTACCCGAGGAACCTGTAAAATAGGTATCTTGCCTCGATTTCAGCGTTTGTCGTGTCATGCACAATTTCTACTATGTACCTACAGTTGCTGGTTTTATTGTATGCATAGGATTGGGCAAGGAAATGAAGGTTTGAGTTTTGTTTATCCTACACCCCTACACGGTAAGGCGATAGGGTAACCAATAAGCTAAAAGTGATACCAATAAATATTACACATTTACTATTAGATACAACTTTATCAAAACATAAAATCTGAGTTTATTGAATTTGATGGGAAACATTATCCTCAAGAGGATTTTTGTGATCGTAAACGTTTGGCCGAGCCTCATAAGTACAAATGGTGACACCATGCCGATGAGCCTCTGTAAATTCGCCTTTCAAACCGATATAATAAACACGTGTTTGATCACCGCCGAAGTTACTTGGAAAATGGATACTTAAATGATGTACGGAACTAAAGAGTACAATCCTACAAACAAATACTGAGATCTAAAACCTATAAACTATCAGGTAAAAGGCATACTTCGTTGCATACTCTAAAGTGCCAGATGAGTCAGTGTGTAAATCGAACTCTTGATCTGCAGGTATACGAACATCGTCAAAAGTCATATGAGGCCTATTTTTGTACCTGCAAAGCCCATGGTTCTTAAGGTTTCTGAATGAATAGAGACTTACAGCCTCATTTTGGAAGGGTGTGAGTCGCTATCTTCTCCTACCACTATAATTCCTTTGAGTTTAATATTTCCCGTAAATGGAATATTAAAAAGTAATTCCTCATCTGCATCCGATTCAACATACTAAAATGAAATACCAAATCCATTAATTTATTAATAGTAAGTGCACAAAGCAAAAATTGTTAACCTCTACAAAATTTAGACGATCTTCCCATTGTTTAAACACCAATTTTCCGGATCCTTCCGTGAGTTCATTTAAACATTCTAAATTTTCTTTATCAATTTTTGCGTATAAGCTGTACTGAACCCCCATTTCAGGGGTGTCATCATGATTTTTATCACCTTCGCAACTGTGGTGGCCGTGGGGCGCCATTTTTTCAAACTACAAAAAGTGACATTTGTTTCTTGTTACCAACGTTGGACGCGAATTATATATAGGGTGATACATAATGTATGTATCACTCATCACAACTAATAGAATACGGACAAATACGAAAATGACATTCATGAGATTGTATATGAAAATATACTTTAAAATATCACACTTCACAGTTAGTTTTGTTTAAGTGTTAGTCAGGTCACCAACAACCATTTGGATTGCTTTAAAATAGCCGAATTGCCGAATGCCGAGGTATTTTTCTAACCTAACATTTTGTTGTTTAATTTTTAACTTGTGTATGGTGTCCGCCTGTAAGGTCTGTAATGATGCAGTATCCGTACCTTTACGAACCATTCCGAAATCTCAAGCATACATATCGGGGTGATCCTGCCGCCACCGCCACTGAAATTATAGGTTAGAATGAGGTTAGGTTTCCCGTTTGCTGTAAACCGTCGATGAAAAGTTTCCGACGAAAACGAGGATGCTCGGATTGATCAGATGACAGTTACCGTATCTACAAGTACAACAGTTACCGAACGCTACAGACGCTCCTGATTAATCTGAGCGAGTTCTCGAAAGCACCTTTAAGAGGTAAGGTGTCAATAAATTAGAACAAATTTTAGAAATTTTAGTAACAATATTATACTATAACGTAAATTTAATTACGTGATTTATTTATATAAAATTAGTTATTAATGTTCACCATCAACTAAATTTATAATGGTCTTTGAATATATTGATCGTTCCCTTACTTGCAGTAACTTTTATAACACTTCATCTACAACACGAGAGCGAATTTGATTATTTATCACTTCATCATCGATGTTAAAACTGAAACTAACACAATTCAATGTATATTGCAAACAGTAAACCTAATAAATGTAGAAGGCATATCATATATTTTCAGAAGAATGAGTCATATCCGCTTTTATTCCTTATCGCCGATGACTATAATCTTTGATCGACTTGATGGCCCCTTTATATCGTTTTAGAAACAGAGTTTAACATAATACATGTAAAAACTTGAACTTAAAGTGCAATTCTTTATTGGCTCAACGTTATGTAATTTTTCGTTTCATTTGCATAAACGCTGTGAAAATGTTATTTGTGTTATTTTTAAGTATTTCGTACATAACTACTTTTTAACTTTTCCCATATATCTAGTGTGCTGTTGCCCTGCATGATTCTATTAACCGCTTATACCGTGGAGAATGTACCTTAATACGTAGTTCCAATTCTTTGGTGTACGTACCTGTTCCTCTCTCATCTCGTGACCGGCGGTGCGTAAGCAATACAAGTGGGTCCTCTAATTAGCTTTTCTTCTATTTAATATGTGGGTCTGTTTGAGTGATAAATGTGTACCACCCAGTCTAAGCCGACGTACCGATATTTGAAGTGGGGCGAAACGTTTGTCATTTGACAGTTGCAAAGTGTAACAACTGTAAGTATTGAGTCAGCCCAAATTGAATGCCAGTTCGGGAATCTCTAAGGGCCGGTTGCACAAACGCAGTTTAAACTTCCCTTGGAATTAATCAGTGGATTACGGTCTATAAGATTTGTTGAAATTTGAAGTTTTTTCAAATTTCAACTAATCATAAGTATGTCTTAATCCATTGCGGTAATCTAAACGAGGTTTAAACTGCCTTTGTGCAACCGGCCCTAACATCATCACAAACTGAGGGAGGGACTCGTTCCTCGTTCGGAAAATGCAGCGTAAAGGTCAGATTCAACCAAAGTTTTAGATGTAATTATTTTAGTTACATAGTAATCCCATCCCTGGGATTGTCTCAAGAAGTCCATACAAACATCAAGCAAGGCAATAATTTCCATATACTTAAATGACTGCTATATAAATTAAACTTCGGGCCAAGATCTTTGTGGTTTTCTTTCTTTTGCAGTTATTGGTAGAGTATTCGTTAATTTTATGTATTACTCCTTCCTTCCACTACTATGTATACCTAATCAAAATGGGTACTCTTTGGTATTTAATCACGTGATACCCTTATAAATGTTCCAATTGCCGATTTACATAGTCTCTGTGGAGCATCCACAGTGGCTTCGATATTTCATTTAAATGCTTCCATAAATAAGAAAGTCGGCATTGCGCAAAACCCAAATTGGAAACTGATGTTACATTGGCTTTTATTCCAAGTGTCTATGTATTACATTTCATTTGAATGCGGTTTCGTAAATAAGGAAGTTGGCATTGCGCATGCGCAAAACCAAATTTTGCAAGTGGTGTTAGATTTGTCTTTAGCCCAAGTGCCTATGTATAAAATTTCATTTAAATGCTTTCATAAGTAAGAAAATTGACATTGCGCATGCGCAAAACAATATTTTAAAAACGTAGTAGGTCTACGCTATCTTCACACAACAAGAATACGGAAATAAAGTCAACCCGGCAACGTTTAAAAATGGCTACCCGAATGATGATTTCCTCCAAAATTAAACAAGATCCCGCTTAAATTTGAAAAGTGGCGCGTGATCAAACATCATAAGGCAGGGTCCCCTTACGTTAGTTGTAAACAACCCTATGACCTAAAGGGATTTGCCCCCCCCCCTCCCCAATATAAAATGCTGTATACAAAACACAAATACGATATAAAGAAATGCAAAAATCACTACCTGCATTAAATAACACAAAAATATCAACAAACATTTACGCAGCCACGTGTTCGCGACCGCCATTAAAGAGAAGAAACCAAACGTAACCCACATTCGCGCTCTCTAGATGGGCAGACAGCTTTTCCCCTTCATAGATATATTAATATATTCAGCTCCTAAAATTGCGTAGTTGCCAACTTTCAAAATTATGTGCATCGTCGCAAGTTGTATATACAAGGCGAACGTGGTTAATTTTACTTATAAGCGTAGTGTTTACATATAAAGTTTCATTTAAATATTTTCATAAACAACAAAGTTAACATTGCACATGCGTTAAACTAAATTTTTGACACTGCACATGCGCAAAACCAGGAAATATTGGTATGCACGGAATTCTTGAACCAATCCCTTTCAAATGAGCCTCCATATCGCTCAAATCGATTCAGTCGTGTAGAAGGAGTACCTACGTGTGACGGACGGACGGGCGACAAAGTGCAGCCAATAGCGATTTTTCACTTTAACCAAAATAGGTACCTACGCTAAAAATGCATTGCCGTTTCCCTATGGTCCGTTCTACCTGGGACACACTGTATAAGCAAAATGTAGCGTATATCAGTGAGTTCCAACTTAGATGCGCTTGTTATAAGTTATAAGTGATAAATAATAAGTAAGTACCTACTGTACTTTATTGTTAGTATACCTTAATTGTTAGTTAATTGAAAATAAATAGAGCTATGTAATTAAATTTATGATACCTACATTAAATTTTGATTTAATTTTTATGGAGAACAATTTTGTTATGGCCTAAATGCGCGGGAATGGTTATTACAATACGTCACCACCGCTTTGTTTTGTGGCTAGTAGATAGCTGCATATGCGGTTTTATATTCAGTATTGTTTATACTTTATATAAACATATTGAGCAACAAGACGTGCTCAGAGCGAATCTGACTACTTAATGTTTGCGAAAATAGCTGGATTCCTTATTCTTCATAAAATCATAATGTTCCTTCATTCATTTGCAGAAGTGCAGGTCCATAGAGATAGACTAATGAAATATTGTTTTTTTTAACATAAATAAAATGATATATTTTATATAAACAGCTATCAGTTTTACCTATCTACCTACTTATAGCATAGGTAACTATTGTGTGATAGTAAAAGAAACTACTTCGTTGGCAGCTGGTATCACGATTAATTTATAAATCAAATCGATTGAACTTAGTCATTTTCAGCACGAAAACCTAATGGGTCAATGAACTACGAATGTATGTATATTTTTTACTACTCGCAAATTTCAAATCTTTTTACACCACAATGCGCTGTCAGATACCGCCAGTGTTACGTCATGTGTTAGCGCACAGCGTCGCGGCGCAGTCTAATATTAGTGTAGTATACACACATTTCCTTATTACTGCATACCTCTATTAAAATGACCAGTGTTCAACAATCACCCAGAAATGTTTCACGGGGACGTAGACGCGAAAGGTAAGTTAAATTACATGTTTGCAAAATTAGTTGCGCTAATTTATTATAGGTACAAGTAGCATTCCGTAGCGAATCGGAAATCGATAGTTTTTGGTTTTTTTATAGTACTATTGTGTAACTGATTACAATATTATCACGTCGAGTCCACGCGTAACTGATACTAAGATTTTTTAATCGATGGTACTTGCGCCCTTCAATAATTAAGTCGCTCTCAATTTTGTTTAAAAAAATGTAAAACTATTCACCGTCACACCCCAGGGGAGGAGTACCGCGTCCTTGTTGCTTGCTTACATTATTGATCAGGCTGACTCAACGTTATCTATCAGGGGTTGTAAATATGGAGCTCGACAGCAGTTCGCGAAGTTAATTAATTCGCCACCATTGAAAACAATAACAGCTGTTTATGTTGTAGGGTTAATGCTAGTCAAAGAAGATGCGACCGATCGTCGGATTCGCAATTGCAAGTATTTAAGGCAACAAATATGGAAGACGAGAAGTATGAACTTCACCCTCTAATGCACGGTTGCGACGATTCGTGGACGTGGAACAGAAGAGAGAAAAGTCGGGAAGTTACTCTTTACGGAAATTCGTTCAATATTGCACATTTCCACCCTAACTGGAGTAGTGGAACGGCTGGTGTCAGGGGAACAAGGGTTTTAAATAATGGTAAATACTTCTGGGAGATTCATCTATCGCAGAGAATTTTTGGTACAAGTATGATGTTTGGAATTGCTACAAAATACGCTCGATTACACGTAGATTCCTTCACAAATCTTCTAGGTGAGGACTGTCACGGATGGGGTTTATCGCATAAGGGCTTGCTTTGGCACGGCGGTACTTGGTATCATTATACAAAACCATTTCGGGAAAACGAAGCAACCGTGATTGGCATACTATTCGACGGCGTCGACGGTACCCTTACGTTTTATAAAGACGGCAAGTGTCTCGGTATCGCATTTAGGGGCTTACACGAAGTTAAGCAGAGTTTATATCCAATGGTGTGTTCAACGGCGGCAAAAACGGAAATGAAGCTGACGGGGATGAAACGCGACTTTGTTAACTTGCAAGACCGCTGTCGGGCTGTTATTCTCAAATGTGTAGTTGATAAAACTTCTATTGACGAACTAATGATACCCCCTAGAATTAAAGGTTACCTAAAAGAAGGAATAAACGAAATACGGATGCAACCCTTTCAACCGATAAGTGAGAACGAGTATCTCCTTGGTACTTAAATTCGATTAGTCCACGTGTAGTAAATGTGATATTTTTATTTATTCTGTAACGGTTGTAAAGTAAGCAACCGTGTGTTCATTTAATGGACCCCGTGATTGTCATGATGCCATATTTTGTAAATATCTGCCCACCTATAGTATTAAATGAGCGTAATATGTTGCTTGGTAGAGTTTAGGACGTGAAAAATTGTTTAGTAGATCGTAAAGCGACGTTATCACGACTTTTTCATTTCCAATTTTTGGAAGTTGAGGTAAAAGAAGATGTACATACAGGTAGGTTAACGGAAGCCCACCTCAACATAAATAATAACCTAGTTAAGATTTTCTGTTTAGTATTTTGTATTGGCCATTATGTGCAATATGCTTGATACACATTCGTCAATAACCGTTGGAAAATCTGCACTATTATTGTTCGGACATTTTTAATGATCTCCATTGTGAATTTGCGTTGAAGACAGGAATTAGGACGAATAAATCTTGAATTTATAACTTTTTGTATGTTTGTACTAGTTATAACTACGGTTCAGAATTTTTAAACTTGTACCTATAGTACATATATACCTATTCGAATATTAATTGCAAATTTTGTTAAAAACCTCGCCATTCTTGGATCGCCCGTATCCGGTCTACCCCTGTTGCAACTTCACTTCTCATTGGAAGCGGTTGCATTTCTTCGTGATCATCAGTGCTAAACTCACAGTTGGTAACTTTACGTCTTCTTTAGATATTTTTCAAAAGATCGTCTGGTGACATGTTTTCCACAGGAAACCAATTAACGCCACAGAAAAAAAATACGACCAAATGCTGAACGCATTTTTCTGGAGAGGTTCAAACTCAATTTATCAGAACCTAATCACTCTTCATACCGAGAGTGAAGAATTACTGTACGAAAACTTCTTACGGCATATTGTACATGTATGTACATAGGTATTTCCAATTTTTTTAGGGAAGTTGTTTTCGGGAACAACTGAATTATATTCGTGCTTATGTTTTCACGTAGGCGTTACTCGAAAGTAAAATTAAAAGAAAGATGCCCCTTACGCAAGAATAACATACTTTAAGATAAGTGCGAGATGAATAATTTTTTTTACGACCCCCCTGAAGATGAGGTCATTAACATAGATAATTTAGAGGCATGATATAGTACCATTACTTACACCCGTGCGTAATGAAAAAAATTATAATAATACGTTAGTAAGGGAATTCTCTACAGATGTCCAAACTGTCAACAGACTTCATTTTGGGTTTTGCCCTATTTTCATTTCGAAATTCACGGAGGTCGTAGAAAAAGTATGGTACGTATATAATTCGGTTGTATAATTTACGTATTGCAGGTTCGTAGAATTGCCGCACCGGTGTGGCATCGTGCGAAATTATTCTATTCATCTGTAATATACTTATTACAACCTTATAAAGTATACACTATAATCACTGCCCATACAATAGAATAATACCTACTGGTTGTTACCTTTGTTTATCTTTTTCACTGATTGATCCACTGATAAAAATTCAAATTTCCGGTTAGTTACGGAGTACTTTAAGCGTTGCCGTCAACGCCTCTGCTGAAATCTAGACCATCGATTTTAATCATCTAATAGGTACGTAAAAACTTTTTGGGTATATTCAGATTTCGTTTTATTTTTGCGGCAAGATTTTAGTTATTATCGAAATGAATTTCATTTTTTTTACATATAAAAATTCTATTGTTACATAACTTCTAAACAGTTTGGGTGTTCATTTTAGTCCTTCCTTGGGCTTTTAGAAAATAGGTACACAAACAATCGAATAAGATGAATTTGCAATACCGGAGAATGGGGTCAATTTGTGACTAAGTATTAGGTATTATTGCAAATAAAAATGAGTGTTGATAGCTAAGGGTGAAATCCGAGGTGAAATCTTTGATTCCACATGATAAGTTAAATAATCCGTGTGAAAGGGAACGGTGGAGAAAAACAAAGAGAGATGCCATATTGCAAACCTAAGCTATTATTAAAAAATGACAAATTATAAATGTTATAGAGTAAAAAAGGAAAACAAAAAAGGTTCTGTACTTACATACAGGGCGTTACGAAATTCGCGCCCACTGACAATGGGGGCTTAATTCGGAGACAAAACCGAATAGAAAACCCTATTACACTTTTGCGATCAAACAAATATACTCAAGATATGAGGTTACAAAGGAAAGAGAAGCAAACGAAGAATGAGAATAACTAATAAACCGAAATTGTGGCATGAAATAAATTTAAAGTGTAATGGCTCGTCAAAATGGCCACCATTTGCCGCTAAACAGGCTTCTATATACACGTGTTTGGACATGTTGAATGGCATTATTTTTCATTTCTGGTGTTACATATGCCTTGTATTTTTATCATTTTCAATTTTCATAATGAAAATAATCTGGGCTAATGGAATAAGTACCTGTAATCATCACCATAGAATTAGTTTCAATTTATTCGCGGCACAATTAAGTGCATAGTGATTATTATAAAACAAAAAATAATTCTTCACTTCTTTCCCATTTTTTGCAACTTCGTATCTTGAACAGTACCTATTTGTTTGATCGCAAAGGTCTAATAGTAGGGTTATTCTATTCACTTTTGTCCTTGAATTATTAAACCACCATTGTCCGTGAGCGCGAATTTCGTAACACCCTGTACTGAATAACGTTTTCCTGGTTGTCGTGGTTAAAAAATCCTTATTTTTACAAATATTTGCACGCGAAGGGAATGCATAATATAATTGCGTAAACTTTATAGATTATGAGAGGCTGATAAAACTGTTAAATATGCTAATGTTAACGCCTCTGTAATTGTAGCCGAGTACTGTGCAATTAGGAGCGTCATTTTCCAAACACATTTGAAACAAGTTAAAAAGTAATCGTAAACGATTTACATAAAGCGCATTTCCACTTGCATTCATTTCCCATTTGTAAGATGCAACTTCTGTTAAAATCGTAAAAATCCGCCCACAAATATGAAAGATAGCGTTGCACATGGGCAATCCATTGTTGCCGTGCTACTTCAATTTCAGTTTATGAGAAGAATTTCATTTCAATGCTTTTCTAAATAAGAAAGTTGGAACTGCGCATGCGCAAACCTAAATTTTAAAACTAATGTTAGATTTTCCTTTGTTTCAAGCGACTAAGTATCAAATTTCACTTAAATAGTTCCATAGATAAAAAAGTTGGCACGGCGCATGCGCAAAATAAAATTTTGAAACTGGCGCTAGATTTTCCTTTATTCAAAGTGCCTATGTATCACATTTCATTTAAATTCTTCCATAAATAAAAAAGTTGGCACTGCGCATGCGCAAAACCAAATTTTGAAATTGGCGTTTTATTTTCCTTTATTCGAAGTGCTTATGTATCAAATTTCGTTTAAATTCTTCCATAAATAAAAAAGTTGGCACTGCGCATGCGCAAAACCAAATTTTGAAATTGGCGTTTGATTTTCCTTTATCCCAAGTGCCTATGTATCAAATTTCGTTTAAATTCCTTCCATAAATAAAAAAGTTGGCACTGCGCATGCGCAAAACCAAATTTTGAAATTGGCGTTTGATTTTCCTTTATTCGAAGTGCTTCTGTATCAAATTTCGTTTAAATTCTTCCATAAATAAAAAAGTTGGCACTGCGCATGCGCAAAACCAAATTTTGAAATTGGCGTTTGATTTTCCTTTATTCCAAGTGCCTATGTATCAAATTTCATTCAAATACTTTTATAAGTAAAAAAGTTTGCAATTCGGTTTATAAATGGTCGAGATGCGAAAAAGGCACTGTGAATTTTGAATCGATTCGATTCAACTTTTGGCATTGCGTATTATATGGCTAAATCTATGCCCATATTGAATTTCATGCAATTCAGTTCATAACTCACGGAGATGTAAAGCGATCGAACATTTCTAAACAAAGTTATCGTTCACACGGACAGATAGATGGACAGACAGACAAAGGAACAGACGGAGAGACCAACCGGCAGGCGACAGATAGCAATGCAAATTTATAAACGATCTCTAGGATCGTTAATAAACGGCAAAAGTGTAAAATTATGGAACATGTAAAAAACGGTTTTTTTGTTTTTTTTACAATAACTTTTTTTGTAAGCGGTACAGAAAAAATTCCTTCCTTGGTACAAGACTCGACACCATAACGAACCAAATAGCGGAAAAAGTAGAACAATAGCTCTTAAGATAAAAAACTAGTAGCGTCGCAAAGTTAGCGGACGGGCGGACGGACGGACAAAGTGGCCACAATAGCGCATTTTATTTTTATTTTTGTGGAAATGCGCTAAAAAGAAGTAACATTAATGAGTGACCTTGTTTGTGGTGCAAAGTCGTATAGTCTTGGCGAAGGGGATTCTCCGTTGTGACGTAACTAATAAGTGACCTTGTTTTAGCGCAAGGTCGTTCAAAACGAGAAAAAGGTTATTGCAATGCTTTCATCACAGATCTGTAATTTGATGTTCTCGGGAACGTATTTTAATTATTAATTTCGAGGACTTTGTGCCATGTTTCATTCAAAACCATAAATTTCTATAGGAAAGAATGCTTTCCAATACATATTTGAGTGAATTATATGATAGAACTTCTGACTGCGTAGGATTTGGTTTAAATTTATTACAAATGGAACAAATTGTTTAGTAACTCGTTCAATGTCCTTGTCGATCTTTGGCATATATATTATATTATATATATATTATATATTATTTATTTACAAAGGTAGGTATTGCATTGGGGTAAAAATGACCCCCCCCCCCACTTTTTTGACGGAAATACACGGTTTGAAGCCTCAGGAATCAAAATCGTCTGTCGACACTGTCATTTTCTAGCTAAACACCAAGCGGATTGGAACAAAAATTGGCACATATATTCTTAGACATAAAAGGCAGAGCTGAACCGCAAGTGTGTGAAACGCTGATTTCCGGTTAAACTGATTGGAAAATTTGGTACACATGTACATAAAATACATGAGCTGAAAAGCTATTTTGCAGAATGCACATGCGCAGGTGTTGCCACAGAAAATTTTTGTTGTTATATTTCGTTACAAGCAGTGTATACGCTCCTATTGTACCAAATTTGTTTATTAAGGAAGTGTGAATCATTTCCATACCAATGAAATGATTAATGATTTAATAATGAGTTTAATTAAAGTACAAAGGATGTTTCACATTTTACTTTATCTATTTATTATGACATTAAATATTACTCTTAGACTCCTTGGCATTCTGCAGAGCTTGGGTAATATACAACTTTGCCAATGATTGCGAGCAAAACTGAGATATATGCTGGCTGTATGTGTTAATTTGTCCCGCAATAATCATCGGATTTAATCTTGGTGGTACTGGCTGAGGACGGAACAGTTTATTAACATCTTCCTCAGGTAACGGTGGCTCATCCTTGGCAGCTCTTGAAGCGTTTTCTTGTGAACGCTTCAACATCCAGCGATGCTTCTCTTGCTGTTGCCTACTCACCAACTGTTGATATCTATTAAACTTAATTGCCTCTTGATTAAGTTCGTCGACACGATCCATCAAACACCTCAACTGACCTTCTAATACTGAAGCCGTGCCTAAATCTAAGAACTTCGAACCTCTTTCCTCCGGTACCAACTCGGATAGCTCGGACATCATTATGTTGGTTAAAGCTGAATTCTTTATGACAAAGGGAACTTCGACAAACAAATTTTCAAAACCAACTTTTAGCTTGAGTAAGGTTTCAGGAGTAAATTCGCCCTCCTTGTACATTTCTATCGCTTGCGGTGTGAGTCGGTAAGCTTTGAGCGTTAGAAATCCACGAGACGACTTCTGCGAGTCATAGATTAAAACAACAGACTCCTCAATTGACGTTTGATAGTGATATTGCGATTCCAGTAGAGGTAAACTGAGAAAGTTGCCAACGTCTGCACTTTGATACCATCCAACATGAAAGTGATCTACATTTACACGTCTCAGTCTGCGCATCATTGCTAACTGATATTCTTCCTCATCTAAGGAATCATCGCTATGTTTCGGAAACGGAAAACAGTTGGTTATTTCCAATCGATTATCAACAACTAATCCCAATAAAGCTCCTTGAGCTATATCCATGTTACTCGCTGTTTCCTCATGGCAATGCTTCACTATTTTCATAACAGCCTACAAATTTGAAGGTTATTGACAACATATGTAAAGATACTTGTGGAGCTTTTGCATGCTGGGGACTTACCAAACCATCAGCCTGGACGAAAGCAATTGTGGAGTCATTTTCTTGTAATCTTCGCGATTGCCCTCCGCGAGAAGCCATTTTTGAGTTCATTTTGTCGGTGTTCGGCAATGAAATTATATTATGTTAATGGTCTTGGGTAGTGTTCCAACTAAACTTTGAGGTTAAATCGAAGACCCGTTGGAACTATTGTACCATCAATATTGTACAGGGTATTGCTTTTGTTTCATCATAGTTCTCCTTCTCTTATAAGGGGGAGGTAAAAAATGAGCACCCACTTTTTTGTCGGAAATACACGTTTTGAACCACCAGGAATTCAAATCAAACAAAATCTCGGTGACAATCAACTCGTTGTGGGTGTGGATGTCGGTGCGAGTTTGTAGGGTGTAGGCCGTCTATACCACCGTGGTGTAGGCCAAAGAAATATTCCGTAATTGAATTGAATTATTGAACCAATCTATCTTTCTTTGACTTACACACCCTACAAACTCTCACCGACATACTGATTTCATTTTTACGGCCAATTGGAACAGTTCTGTGGTGGAACTTTTTAGATGAAAATTTCCATATGCCATTTCCTCTGATGTTTCTCATCCTTTTTACTTTTTTAATTTTCTAGTTTTTTCCTAGAATTCTATGCGTTTTTTTTAATTTTTTGGATTCTTCAGTTTTTCCGAATTCTTATTTATTTTTCAGATTCCGCGGAGTATTTGATTTTTTTGTGCCCTTCGGATTTAAAAATTATAACCTTGTGTTCCCAACTCATGGACTATTCCTTCGCATTCTTTCTGTTCTCCACTTTCAGGTTCTTCGGATTATTCAATTTTTTCTAATTTTTTAGATTCCTCAGGTTCTTAGGATTCACTTCCAAAAGGTTTCGAAGTATTTTTATCATTTCTTAGTTTCTTCAAACCCTTTGGCTTTTTCTGATTATTTTGGGATTATTATGCCGTCGGATTTTACCGCTACTTATGATTTAAGTTAGTCATTTCAGTTTGTTTAAATTCTATCCATTTTTCTGATCCTTCAGATCTGTCAGATTGTTTAAGTTTAATTTATATTTATTATTATACAACTATTATATTACGTGTAATGGCTATCCTTCGACTCACCACCCGGTATGTGGATGTGAGACTTATGACACAACTCGTTTGTTTCCGTTATAGATTGCAGGTCTGTCAAATGTCAAATTTTACAAGAATCCGTATAATCACCTGACGTTTCCCTTAATAATAATGCTCACCAATTTAAAATTTAATTATTCTTGGCTTTTAATAGCTGTAGTTTTATTAGCACTATTGGATTCATTACAAGAAGCCAATGCGGATGACGTTCCTAAATCAAAACTTAGTCAAAATATCGGCGGACCTACGATGAAATTCTTATATTGGTAGGTAATCCCTCATTTATTATTAATAAATGTTACCTTACAGCTATTCCTGTGGCTATCGAAAAATGTATGATGAATATGCGCAAATTATACAACAGAAGTACCCGTACATGGCAGTAGAGGGTCAAAACTACGACCCACCAGGTCTTAATATGCTCTTATCGCGTTTGATTGTAAGTTTTTCCATTTAGCAAGTGCATATACTTCTTATAAGGCGGCAAATTGTAGGGAATCGCTAAGATGCTAGTCATTTGCTGTATACTGGGCGGTGTAAATATTTTCCAGTATATTAATCAACCGCAACCTTCGTGGTGGTCCTGGTGTATTGAGAATAAGATATACGCTTGTCTTATGTTGTTCTTCTTTTGTAATCTCATAGAGGGACAGCTGATACAGTCTGGTGCATTCGAAATATCGTTAAATGACGTACCTGTATGGTCTAAACTAGAAACCGGTCGAATACCTCAGCCTCCAGAGCTTTTCCAGATAATCGATAGTCACATGCAGTTCACTGATAGATCGGTTGAATTTAATAACGGTTTTGCAAAATAATGTTAATGTTATATTTATTAGGTTATCGTTTGTATTATAATTATTTCTGGTTTTATTTAGGTACGATTGACATTATGTGATTGAATTAATAAATTCTTTTTTCTATTAATGTAGTTATGTTAATGACCATTAGCAAAGAGAGGGAGAATTGGCATATTGATCCCGAGGCCTATTTCGTTTAGTTATTTTACAATTTTTCAGATAGTATTTAGGCGGTCCATAAAGAGTATTTTGACATGTAATCAATGATCGCACCCCACCGCCCATATAGTGATATAGCAATGTATCTAGGACTTTAAAAATTCTTGAGTTTCCTAGACCCACCATTCCGACCCCCTCCCCAAAGGTTTACAGTTCTTTTTAGGAACATTTTAACACATGTAGTACGTAAAGATCATTCTACATAGACCTTTTGCTTGAAGTTAATCCCTTAGAGAAGAGTTTGTTGTTCTATATGTTATAGAAGGAAAGAGTGAAAGGCTAATCCAGCCCCACTAAATTTTGGCCAATATAAGAATAGACCCTTTTCACACCCACAAAATTATAAAAACCGCGAAATATAAAAATTGAATGCCACTATTATAGAAGTGACTAAAAATTACAAATAAATAATAAGGTATTTTGAGGAGAGGACATTTTATAAATAAGATTTTATTACCTAGTCAAAAAAATTATTAAATGTTTGTTAAATTGTCTTAATGAATATTGACTTTATTGGAACCACTGGAAAGCATTTCATTTTTCAGTAGCTTTCCAACGATGTGTCACAAGTATGGAGTTGCCATTTAGGATTTTTGAATATGGGAGCTGGGGAGTTAAAGGGGGGAGGGGGTTGGCACTCATAACGTCCTTCTGGTTCACCCTCGATACCCCCAAAACGGTTTTGCGCGATTTTCAATATCTTCTTTAGTTTGGAAAATATGGCCGACTGCATAGTTTTAAAATTGACACCCCAGTGGTATAAGGGCATTACATACCTAACTGTTGTATGTATACTCGCTAACAATAAATAAAAAATATTTACTTTGGCGTGTAGGTAGGGCATTTAACTGGATTCCCCAATAGCATTATCAATAGGATTAAGTACCTACTATTGGGGGGTCGTGGTCATAAGAGACATAAGACCCAGAAAATAGGGGGTCGCGTGATTACAAAAAGGTTTAGAATCGCTAATCTAGACATATGGAGCTGTATACCCACTAAAATCCTGTGCTTTTAATCTTTTATTGGTGTCCTGTCAACAAAAAAAAACGGGAATCGCGTAATGATTACATCCGGCTTTGGAATTAGGATTAGAAATTAGCATATGGATATCTCCTAAAGACTGTTTCCTTTTTAATAATCAAATATCATTTGCCTAGGGGAGGGGGGGGGGACAATTTTTTAGTTATTCGCCTATTAGGTCCACCCTTGACTAGGTCAGCTATAGTTAGATAGGTACCTGATGTTTCGTACATTCTTAAAATTTTTCAATTTTCAACATTCTTAACATTCTTTGTATTCTTTGATTTTCTTTCAACTCTGCTGTTTGAATTCTTCATATGCTTGGGTGTTTTCGTAGTTTACAGATTCTTAACCGTCTTGAAATTTTACAACTCGCTTTAAGTTTTTCAAAAATTTCGCTAAATTCGTGACATCCTTTAACCATCAGTTATTCTCCAAATACTTCAAATTTGTTTCGTGTTTCGTTGCTTCTAATTCTTTCAATCCAATTCCTTCTGTTTCTCCGATTTCTTCCCATTCTTTGAGATCTTCAAATTTTTTTAATTTGTCAGAGTCTCAACATTTTTGGAATATTTTGTTTCTTCAAATTTGTGAGATTTTAGATTTTAATCACTTCTTGAATTCTTTGAATGGTTCGGGATTTTTCCAACATCTATAGGTACTATATATACCTACTTGGGATATGTCGCTGACAATATATTCCAGAATAAAGAAAACTGTCGCGCCAATATGTGATGTGTATCTACGGATTGTACCACAAATTGGCAGAAAGGCATTAAATTAACATGGAGAGCGACCTGGAATAAAGCTCACTCAGCGTCAGTCAAGGTACAGACAGACCGTGTGACTGGGAGGGGAGCAGAGTCTAAGTACGTGCATTCATGTTCCCCTGGTCCCACAAGTTTTGCGAAGTATACAAATTCAGCATCTACCTTTCCCCTTTCTGGAAATTTTATGCATAACTTACAGATACTGAAAAACTTTTATTTATAACCAACTCAAAACGTGAAAGCAATTATCCTTCAAAACCAGGTCGCTGATCTTAAAATAAGCTCAGGAGAGTTGGTAATCCAGAAAGGATATTATAGGACTGCTTACGTGTGTGTGATCATTCTTTTTTTCCTTATCAACAAATTTGGAAAGAAATAATTTTGTCTTCTTATGTTGCTGTTACAAGATGTATACGATTTGAATGACCTCGTATGGATGGATCAGGTCAACCAAAGAGTAATACTCTTTGGGTCAACTTAAATAAACATTGAATAGGTTTCTATTTTACACTTTTATTCAATTAATATAAAACAATTTATAAATTGGATAAACGGCGTAAGTAAATAATTACTATGGCAGTGAAAATTAAATTACATCTTAAGAATCACATTCGTATAAGTGACAAGCTAAACTAATAATGGCACTATATAATTATGTTACAAAAATAAATTGTCATACACTTGAACACAGTTTCATATCATATTTTGACAAAATAAGTAAGTATATACACGATTGTACACATCCAATATACATTTAACGGGGAGGAATACTAAATCTAACAACACTTCACTAATAGTCAATAAGGCGCACACCATTCGTTTTACGAAGCATCGACTTCATTTTCAGGTTTGTTTAGTTTTTCCTGTCCCCTTTTCCTTAGCCTTTGGCGTCTACCCCCATTCTGTCTTCTTCGATTTTCTAAATTATTTAGGTAGAGGTTGGGGTTTTGTTGGTTGCTGTATTGGTAAGGAGTTTGGGCACCTGGCTGAGCTTGAGGTCTGTATTGACCTTCGCCTCTGTTGTATTGGGGCCCATATTGAACTGACCCACCTGTCTGAGAATGTCCTCCGTATTGCCCTTCAGCACCACTTTGTGTTTCATAATGGGTTTGGGATCCAGATTGCCCTTGGCCTTGATATTGTGTACCATATTGAGTTGGAGGTCTTTGTCGAGTTTGAGGGCCGTACTGGCGCTGTCCACCATATTGAACCTGACCTGCTGATCCACTCTGCGTTTGACCAGATTGACCTTCAGAGCCATACTGATGAGTCTGGCTTCCATATTGAGTCTGAACCCCAGGTTGACCTTGGGATCCATATTGAGCCTGACCTCCATATTGGCTTTGACCGCCCGATTGAGTTTGGCCTTGCGTTATATATGAACTTTGTGCTCCAGACTGACTTTGGGATCCGTATTGACCTTGAACACTAGATTGACTTTGGGATCCGTATTGACTATCAACACTGGATTGACTTTGGGATCCAGATTGACTTTGAGACTTGAACTGACTTTGTCCCCCAAATCTGTTCTCAGTGCTTACACCAGATTGACCTGCCCTGCCAAATTGCCGAGGATCTCCTGTATTATATCTTCTGTCAATAGGGTATGTCTGAATTTCGCTAGGCTGAGGAACACCATAGGTAGGACCCCCACCGGGGCGTGGTTGTGACCTTTCTGAATGATAACGACGCCGAATACATACTGCGCATCGACTGATGCGGGAAGTTAAATCCATTCCTGCTTTTAATGTTTGTTGGCGTGGTTTTGTAAACATGGCATAATCTTCAATAGTGGCTAGCCAGTATGAATATGCGGTAGTAAAGTAATTGCATCGACCATGGGCGTGACACTCGATGAAAGGTCGTGGTCTAAATTCTTCCAAACAGGAACCTGGAGATACCAAAGGTTGTCCAGAACCTTGTGCACCAGCATCAGTGTGCTAAAATGAAACATATTTTATTACCGGCGAACTATTACACACTAGTTTTTACCATCATGAAACTGTAACCAATCCATAGTTCTTCCCAACCTGTAGGACATTCTGGTATAGTTTGACTTTGACTGTGCACTGCAATAATTCTTGTTGGAGCTTCACATACAGAACACCTGTTGAACGACAACAATAGTAAAGTATAGGTGTGAGAACTTTTTAGAGCTTTTTTACCTTGAAATGTATCTTCCTACTTCAGGAGCGGGTATGGGAGTCATCATTACAGGCATTGGTTCATTCGTGGATAACCAGTAACTATAATCATTTCGTTGCGCATAGTCGCAAACATCATTTAAGTTACAGAACAAGTATGGCATGGTGCTGAATTTTCTTAAACAGCTTCCTGGTGCTCCTAAACATTTGATTCAAATTAACTTTAATTAAATAGTGTAGTTATTTACCTAAATCTTGGCCATGGGCTTTCGAATCTCCCATAATGTGCAGTAATGAATATCCATCCCACATTTTTATAGTGTCTTTGGGACAAATCGGTGTAAGTTCAGATTGAGAGTGTCTTGTAAAGTAAAACCCTCTACTTTTGGGACCGGGCGGTGACGGAGCTGGGTCACCACGGATTCCAGGAGCTCCAAAAGCACCTTGTAAACCGACTTGTCCTGGTAAACCGTTGTCACCCTGCACGCCTTTAGGACCTTGGAAACCTGGCAACCCTTGCATGCCAGGTAATCCTGGCTCGCCTGGAGCACCAGAGTAGCCACGTGCACCAGATTTTCCAGGTATGCCTTCCATGCCAGGTAGGCCATCTGCTCCAGCAAATCCAGTATCACCAATTAACCCGGCGATGACTTGTCCAAACTCTCCACGGTCACCTTTTTCACCTTGAAAACCTACAGAACCTTGTGCTCCTGGAAGGCCAACGTCCCCAGTTGGTCCCCTAAGACCTCTTGGGCCAATTGGGCCTGGCAATCCTACACTTCCTGGCTCGCCTAACTCGCCTTTAGCACCGTTAGGGCCGGGCAAGCCTCGGAAACCAATATCGCCCTCTTCGCCTTTAAAATTGATAGAAGCAGTACCAATATCTCCCTGCATACCCTTAGCCCCTCTGGCGCCAGGTCTGCCGTTGTTTCCTGTAATAATTATGCAGATGTACACAACACCAAAAGTTATTATCATACCCTACCTGGTAACCCAAACTTTCCAGGCCTGCCAGGTTGTCCCGGGAAACCGGCATCACCACGTATTCCCTTAATTCCTACAACAACTGGGCCAGGTTCTCCCGGAAAACCAATGGCTCCGTCCGCTCCGTAATCCCCAGGAGCACCTTTCTGGCCAGCCACACCACTCAAGCCAACTAAGCCATCTAATCCGGCTCGGCCTTCGTCACCTCGTTCGGGATTTACACCTGGTAATCCTGGAAGGCCAACTTCTCCTTCTTCTCCTCTTATACCTAAAAAAGAGATAGGTATATAGATTATGACTATCAATTTCTTCGATCACACCTTTAACACCAACAATTCCAAAATCTCCTTGCAAACCAATGAATCCAATATCTCCTGGCAAACCTCGAGGCCCTGGAGCACCGGGAAAGCCTGGCACGCCAGGTTCTCCAATAGCTCCAGGTAATCCGTGAATTCCGGTCAAACCAACGTCACCTCTTTTGCCTTCACCAAACGAAGCAAATCCGGGCAGCCCTCGTTTACCTTTTATACCAGGGACACCCTGTGGACCTACTGCACCAGGTAACCCAACATCTCCAGGAAAACCGGGTTTACCAGTTCGGCCAGGTTCTCCAAATGCACCTATATGTAAAGCACTTTCACGAATCTGTTGATCGTAAAAAGGACTTTACCTTTCTCTCCTTTTGGTCCCGAAATTCCTGGCAGACCTGGCCCGCCCCTTTCGCCCTTAAAACCTGGTATTCCTCGTCTTCCCGAACGTCCTGGTTCACCTTGAAAACCTGGATCACCGCGATATCCTGGCGGCCCAGGTAGACCTAAGTCTCCTTGTTCTCCCATTAATCCAGGTGCGCCATTTCTTCCCGGAAATCCCGCGTCGCCTTTAATACCAGTTGCTCCATATTCTCCAGGCCAATTTTGACCTAGGTCGCCACGTTCCCCAGGTGCCCCATTAAGTCCCGGAAGCCCATCAAATCCTGGTAAACCTCTGTAACCTGGTTCTCCGATATCGCCTTGTTGCCCGCTGAAAGCCGGTTCTCCTTTTTGTCCGCTAATACCAAAAGCACCCGGATCTCCTTGCAACCCTGGTAAACCTGGCAAACCTGCATTTCCAGGCAACCCTCTCAACCCTATATCGCCGCGAGCCCCCTTCAATCCTCGTTGACCAGGGTAACCTTGTTTCCCTTCCAATCCAGGTAGCCCAGGGAATCCGTCATCTCCCTTTAATCCGACCTCTCCCGGTCTTCCCGGTAGACCCATTACCCCAAAGCGCCCAGGGAAGCCTATAAAGAAACTTATAAACGCCACTTAAAATTTTATTAAATTACTACCTTCCTCGCCTATTTCCCCTATCAAACCTATTCTTCCCAATAGCCCAATGTCTCCTTTAATACCTTTCATTCCAGAGAAACCAGGGTAACCGTCTTCACCTTTTTGTCCCGTTTGTCCCATCATTCCAAACAAACCTGGCAATCCAGGCTCACCAGGAAGTCCTGGAGGCCCTACTACTATCGCTCCCGTTTGTCCTTTGGTTCCAGTTACTCCTAGTAGTCCTGCATATCCTGGTGCACCCTTCTGACCTTTGATACCTACAAAAATGCACTAGTAATTTTTTATAAGCAAAAAAAAGCATTCAATACGAACCTTTAACGCCTGATGTACCTTCTCTACCAGGATAACCGTCAGGACCAAAATCACCAGGTTCTCCTTTTCTGCCAACGAGCCCTGGTACTCCTATTTCTCCATTAAGAATACTTAATCCTGTATCACCGCGGTTTCCTTTCAGGCCAGGTAGGCCATGACTACCATCAGTACCAGGCCTTCCGGGTAATCCTGGATGACCACGTGGACCTTCCATTCCGATTGTTCCAGGGAAGCCTTTAAGTCCGACAGGCCCTGTAATTGATGGTCCCATACTTCCCGTTATGCCGGGAAGACCAGGGAAACCAACATCTCCAGTCGGACCACTTTCTCCTTTAAAGCCATCCCATCCTAGTAAACAAAAAGAATGTATAATTTATACTTTAAATTGTAACTATACCTCGGCCCCCAAGATCTCCTTTAATTCCACGACTTCCTTTAATATCTGCCAAAAATATGCCAGCATCTCCTGGTTCACCTTCACCTCCATATTCTCCTGCTGCTCCTGGTTCTCCCCTGTGAAAGTGCGTTAACACAGATTTCAAACGAACGATTTTTCTTACGGGTATCCATCGAATCCACGGTCACCTCTTAAGTACTCTTTAGGGACTGAAGCGGGATCTCCTTTTAACCCAGGCAATCCATTCAATCCGGGGAATCCATCCTTGCCTGGCAATCCTTGTGGACCAATTTTACCTCTTTCTCCCTTTGGACCGTCTAAGCCAAGAGGTCCCTGTGGGCCAGTAGGGCCCCTAAAGCCAGGGAGACCTTCTTTTCCAGGAAATCCAGGATACCCTGGTTCGGCGGGTTCAACTTGACCAGAAGGTGGATATACAAGCTCTCCTTTTCGTCCTTTTTCTCCAGTAAATCCTTGTAAACCAGCAGCACCAGGTAACCCTTGTGGCCCCTGTTCACCAGGCAAACCGGTTTTGCCAGTTACCCCCTTGGGCCCTCTAGGCCCAGGTAATCCTGCATATCCTATACCTCCGGCCCGGCCACTTCTTCCTGCATCTCCCAGTTCACCTTTCCAGCCAGGAGCACCTTCAAACGGAAATTAATATCCAAAGACGCTATGTTAGTTAGATGGTTACCTCCTCTGCATATTCCGCAATCGTCGCCTCGTTTTCCCTTCTCACCAGGAAGACCACTAAAACCTGGTGTACCAAAATCACCTAGGAGACCTGGAAGGCCAGGTGGACCCGGGTCACCTGCGGGACCAACAATTGCTTGACCTTGGCCAGAGAAACCTTTTGATCCAAATTCTCCGATATCACCTCTGTCTCCAATTGGCCCTGGGAACCCTTCAATACCTGGTAATCCATCTAATCCTGGTGGACCCTCAACAGTTAAACCTGGAAAACCCTTTTCTCCAATTAGTCCATCTGGTCCTGGTAATCCTGGTTTTCCTTGTAAACCATGGAATCCTGGCAAACCATCGTCACCTCTTTCTCCTAAATTTGATGTTGAGTGGGACAAAATTAATTATATGAAGAGGTTCGTACCTTTAATACTAATTCCTCGGATTCCTGGTAAACCTACATCACCTGGGATGCCAGGTAATCCAGGTGGACCAATTGGACCTGGGGGTCCCGGTCTTCCCGGTGTTCCGGCCATTCCCCTCTCTCCGACAGCTCCCTCAGGACCTTGCTTTCCCACCACACCCAATTTACCTTCTTCATCCAAATATGGATCGTAGATACCCGGTTCTCCTTCTATGCCCTGAACACCGGGTGCTCCCCTGAAACCGGCGTCTCCAATATGTCCCTTTTCTCCATCGTAACCTGCAGCTCCCTCATAACCAGGTGCTCCTTTATCACCTTTTTCGCCACTTGGTCCACTTGGGCCTACACGCCCTTGTTTGCCAATTTGCCCATCCAAACCTATTTACAAAAAGGCATATAATGTTGTACAAAACAGTTTTCTGTTTTACCTTGTTCTCCTTTTGCACCCAATTCACCACGAGCACCAGGTAAACCCGCCAGTCCACGCACACCCATTTCTCCCTTTCTTCCGCGATTACCTATTGTTCCTAGTGCCCCTTTCATTCCTTTTGGTCCTTTTATTTTTGTCACAGTTGGCGGGGCAATTATTGAACCACCGTCATTGACTAGATCGCCAGGTATACCAATATCTCCTTCATCTCCAGGTTCACCGGGTAATCCAGGTAATCCTTTGGTACTTTCTCCCGTGTCACCTCTGGGGCCGGGCGGACCTTGCTCTCCAACAATACCCTACACTTATGTTAGCTACATAGTAATTTATTGAATAGTGGGACGTTACCGGGTATCCTTGCAGTCCACTATATCCCGGCGGTCCAGCTGGTCCAGGTCGTCCGTATCCACCAGGGAAGCCGGGAAGTCCTGGTTCTCCCATATCTCCCTTTGTTCCAATAGAATTTCCACCACCTTCACCCGAATCACCAGGTGGCCCTTTTAAACCGTCACCACCCAAAGATCCTCGCACCCCGTGCAAGCCGGGAATACCTGGAGCGCCTGGAGTGCCATCGGTTCCATTACATCCATCCAATCCCTGAGGGCCTCGAGGTCCTGCTTCGCCTGGGTACCCCTTAAAATTGTCTATGTAACCTGAGTTTGGTGTGAAAATACATATGTTCTTACCGAATGGCCCATTGGTCCTTGTCGTCCTCTTTCACCATCATCGCCCTATAGACAATCAACCTTTAGCTTAGTTAGATAGAAAGGCTGCTTACCCTAGTCCCTTTCTCGCCATCTCCTCCGTAAGATCCAGCTTCACCTTTTTCACCTTTTGGACCGAATGGACCTTCTGGTCCAATATCACCGTAATCACCTTGGACAGCTTGCATTCCAGTGATACCTGGTGCACCAGGCTGCCCTTTTAAACCCCTGCAGTCGCATTTGTAACTCTTTTGGTAGCCAGCAAAAGGCGATTGTGCCTGTAATAATATAATGATGCCAATCAAGTTTGTAAAAAAAGAAAATGTCACATGTATCTTACAAATGTCAAGGAGTGGGAAAGTTGAATAAAGTTGTGGTGAGGCGCTTACCTCCGCATTTCACATTAGAGATTTTCATGGAACAGGTGACACCCTTGCCACCTTACAACTACATCTATTGTGTAAAGGGTGGCAAAGAGGATTACCCTTACTCCTTCTCTAGAGTTTATATTAATTTCATAAACCATGCCGACGTGTATGCATTTAAAGAAAAGTATGATAACTACGTATTTATAGGACTAAAAGGTGGGTTTAGCTTGCAATTGCATGCTCATAATCTGGTGATTTTTTAGGTACGGAATACAATGCAGTTGTGGAATTTGCGCCCTATCAAGAGGTACCTAATACCAGACTATTCCAAGGTATCAACGGATGTGGAACGATCTGTAGCGACATTTACTACCAACAATTTTTGAATAAGATAAAAAGCGATGGTCGTGATTGTTGGGAGAATTCGGAGTATAATCTACAAATAAATTACGTTCCAAGCCTAAATTCGGCGACGCCTCTTTTAAAGTTTATAACCGCAAGGAAGGCCGAGGTGAAAGCTCGTACGGAAAGAAAAAATATTAATTCCTTGGTTTTTGTGAATAGTTCTGTTAAGAAATCGGCGGTATCTAAAAGGCGTTCTTAATAAAACATTCGAACTGGCCTTTTTATATAGATAGTAGAATACATGTACAAATAGATTGTTTTTGATTGATTCTATTTGGCAAAGGGCCACGATTGATGGCAAAACATTTTCAAAATATTGAACCAACAGCTCACAAATATTAAATTTCATAATATACATTAATAACATACAGTGTGTCCCCGGATTGACTGAACAAGAGGAAAAAGTTTTAACTTTACGCAAAAATTTTATTCAAAGGTGTCTTTTTTAACTTGATTTGCTTATCAGGTTGCCATGGAAGATACAATGATAGTCTGATTTAATTAAAAACATGCAACTTAGAAAAATTTCCGCTGTAGATTTTGCGTTTTTTGTAATTTTCTCAGCTGCTAAAAGGAATATCTAGATTTTTATTTCAGAATAGGTGGTTTTGAGACAAGCAAAAATTTGTATAAAGATTGACATTTTTGCGTTAAGTTAAAATTAAAAATTTTTTCCCTCTTGTTCAGTCCATCCGGGGCACACTGTATAATAAATATATCAGTAGGTATCGAAAATAATGCAAGTGTGACAGAACGAGACACACGTTAATCTGCACTAATGGTGTTAGGCAACCCAACTTACAGTAGTGCATTACTTGTAATGAACTATAAGTACAATTAATAATAGGATAATATCGTTTGTATTATGTACCTAAATTCCCAGATTAGATGGAGATAAAATTGATCCATTTGACTGCGATCGGATAAGGCACAACATTTTGTAAAATTAAACTAATATGCATTATATCGTACCCAAAAAAAATACCGAAATTACAGAAAGGTCAAAAAGTAAATTAAAATGAAATATGAGAGAAGAGTACCAGGTGTGTTATTACGAAATACCACCTAATTCTCGTCATAATTGCTATGAGAAACGATTAGGTGAGGTTGTTCTTTGGTTGGCGGCGCATTAAAAAAAAGTTAAAAGTCAACATCATGAGGGCAATTTTATTAGTATAAGAATTAATATGATCAGGTCACCACTATAATAAGTGCAAGTTGCACAGTGGTTGCATTCCAAAAATTAATTGATTATCTTCTTCAATTGCAATTGAAAAATGTTTAGTTTAATTGGATTGTATGCTCGCTATATATAGAAAGTGACTTCATTCAATTTTCTTTCTATTGACTGTTGGAGTGCAATAGCGGGCAAATTATCAGCATTTATTTTCATACCTACTTCATATACCTATGTCATAAAACTTATCTAATGTATGCGAATCACGTACGACAACCTAACTTCTAACGTAAAATGTTCATAATAATACTCATTTAAACACCTGACACAAATTCAAAACATACCAACCTTACCTACTGTTACAGTAAATGAAAATTTAGTGATAGGGAAAAGTATTTTGAAAATTTGGGTACACTAGCCGAAATTTTCTAAATCTTTTACATTTCGATGAATTAGTATGCATTTTCAATTCTCTCTGTGTTTTTTTCAAAATTTTCCCAATTTTTTGCAATAATTTCTTTATCGTTAACGTTAGGAACATTACGCATCTAAAACGTTTCAAAACTAACTGGAAAATTCTATTACAAAAAGTTTCGCATCGATAACAAGAAACGTATTGGGGGGAAGCGACCGCGGTTGCTACGATCTCTTCGGGTCTAAAAGTTTGCGTTCGTTCCATTTGAGCCGGCTGATAAAGCCGAAAAGCTAGTTTTCTATTGGTCGTTAGGGGACGCCAGTCGAGGTGCGTTGAGAAAGGAAGGCCACTTGTTTTTTTAAGGGGCGAGATTCAAATAGGAAAAGAAGTGGGAGAACGATGATTCGGGAGCGGTACTTGCAATTAGTGAGTGAAATCTACCCAATAAACAGTAAAAAATTAGCAGTTAACTTCGAGAGAAAACATTATAGCGAGCGCTAGCGAGAACTCTTAAATTTCGAGAAATATTTAAACAAATTCTCTGCACGTTAACTGCAATTTTACGTGTAGACGAATTACAGTCGATTATGGGAAGAGGAAAAATTTTCTAGTAGCCTGTTTGCAAGGCTGGTTATTAACGAGGGGTAAAATATACACGAAGGAACATTTTTGTGTATGAGAACCGCTTTTCAAATAAAGAACGGAATTAAATAAACTGACATTAGAACTCATTGTGATAAACAAACAAGTTTTTTTCGGATCGCCAACAGCAACGGCTGGTGAAAAGCAAGTTCCTCAAAGTTGAGTGACGTCATTGGATAACGCATTGTGCGATAAATAAAAATTTTGTATACAACGGCATACCACAGGCAATTTAAAGACAATTAATCGGTGCATTTCACCTGCAACAAGACGTATAAGTTCATAAATTAGGCAAAATTAATTTGCTATTTTATCCCTGTGCCTATCACGATCTCCAGTATTACTTTCGCGAAATTGAAGCCAGCTTACTTGGATTCGCTATTCATAGGGACTTTTCATCCACTAAACCCTGAATTCGTTCCGATAATAACGATATCGACTGCACTACGGGGAGCTAGCCAAGACATTCCGAAAAATATTTTTATTTTTAAGTTGATAACTAACTAACAGTAAGCACTTTTACGTAGTTCTGTACGACTCCATAATATTTGTAGTTTTACCAGTATTTTTTGTTTTGAAAAATGAGTGAGCCCATCCCGCGGTTATAAAATTCCTCACTAAAAAGACACATGATGCGAAAGTTATCTATGAAAGAATGACCCAGGTGTACGGTACTAACGAAACAATTTCGATGAGGTCGAGACTTGTTTCAGGACGACTCAAGATGAGGAAGACCGGTTAAGGCATGAACTGGGGAATGATTTACTGCCGACTTTCTGGCCGACGAATGAAAATCCCAATTGTTGCAAAAGAAGCTGGAGTGTCAACGTACAAGATTCAACACGAAGATTTTAGGGCGAAAAAAATGTTTGCTCGATTGATTCCCCGACTCCTTACGCCAGAGCAGAAACGGGAGAGGAAATAAACTTGTCAGGAGCGTTTTGGCGAACAATCCATCTTACAGCCCTTATTTAGTCTTACTTCTTTTTGTTAAAAAAATTGTCTCAGGTGACGACCTGATAAACGCAGTAGCGTCGTTTTTTGATAAACAAACATATATAGTTTTTTAATGGAACGGCTGGAGGAACGCTGAACTAAGCGTATTAGTGTAGAAGTAGATGGTAGCTGTTAACGAAATTTTTTTGAAGCTTCGTACCGATTCAATTTTAAAAAGTCCTCGTATTACCACAACTTGATCCTCAAAGACTTCATGACCTTTTAGCGAAAGTTTTATATAGACTTCATGGTCTTTGAGAAGTCTTTTATTATATACACGCACATATAATATGCAATCCTTGACTAATGGTGTATAATTTGACGCAAAATCAAGGGACCTCCTACTGAAAGCAGCATCGTTACGAAATGCCAGACATAAGGAGGTGCAGGGTCAATGCTCATACCATACCAAAGAAATTCCACACTACCCAAGGAATGAATTGCATTAATGGGTCATCTTCATTCCTAAGATTTAGGTAAGTATCTACAATTTGTGGTGGCACGGTTTGCGCACAGCACCCATTTTTGTTGAGCATAGTTTTCTATTATTCTGTTTCCGGTGTTAATACACATAATTGAGAAATTGTAGGTACAACATTGAAAAAACCTGGTTAACGAAATTAGGTTAAAACGTATTAACCAATAATTGTGTCCTTATCAAAATTAAGGCTAAGTTGACATAATTATATGATAAATTTATTCGAAAAAACATGTAAAAAATTCCAACCAAAAAAATTATTGAGATAACCCCTTTGAGTAGTGTCAAAAGTCTGTCTTACTGACCTATATGAACAGAAATAAATTCATCTTTTAGCAAATCGTTTGATTATAGACGTCCAGAAAATATACCACTTGCCAACATCGCAACTTTCAGCAGATAAAAAAATCTATTATCCACTCTGCTCAAGTTTTGCCTCGTGTGGCAAATCTGGACAACGAGGAGCATGATCAAAGAAACAATGTTAGGGGTGAATTCAGTGATAAAAAATCCAGAAATTTGTAGCAAACAAAGAGATCCTGATTTATTCCATGCACATGATCATCAGCTTCCTATACTAAAAAAAACAGCTTCCATTGTCTATGCACATTTGTGAGATATCAAATGACCTACATTAGAAATGTTGTTATTACTCCGATTAACGTGCCTTTTCTGGCGAAAGACGATAATCACAGCTTAACAATGAAGGAGGTGACACGGTTTATTATGACCAAGCGTTGATAAAGGCTGAACTAATTTAGTTCCATGAACGTATGCGAAAAATCATTATCGCCATC